CCCCACGCCCGCGGCTCCCAGCGGCGCGCCCCATGCCGGGGCCCCCGCGCCAGGTACCGTCGGGCGCTGGCGGGAGACGGCTCCAGCCCGGGAGGGACAGGAGCGGGGCAGGCCTGCGGGAGAGAGGGTGGGAGGGCCTGGTGGGCACGGGAGGAAAAGCCTCGGGCATTCTGCAAGCGTTGGCTGCACCCCAGCCTCAGGCAGACTGTGGGCGGGAGAAAGAATCGCTCCCCCCCCCAACCCTGGATGAGTCCTGTGGGGAAACTGAGGTCCAGAGAAGGGAAGGGAGATGCCCAAGGTCACTCATATTTCCAGGCTGGAATGTGGGTCTCTTGAGGCCCAAACTCCGGCAGCCTTCCCCAGTGGGAACGCCTGGCTGCCTGCCAGCTCTGTCCAGTCCTGACCTCTTGGTTCAGCTGAGATGCTGATTTTAGTTCTCTTGAAATCCCTCCATCTCTGTCCAGGGTCGGTGTGGGATTTTCCTCCCCTCCCCACAATCCTCAAGCTGCCTCAGCGGAGTCCAGGATCTGGCCTAGAATTCAGACTTGAAGGAAGGTCAGGGGTGGCGGTGTGAGGCCAGGAAGGAAACTTGAAGAGCCACCTGGCCGCCCAGACCTGTCCCGCAACCATCCTAGTGTGAACCCTGTTCTCCTGGCTCTGAACAGATGTTCTGCTTGAACTGACGGGGCCCCCACCTAGGCTCTCTTTGATCCTCAAAGACCCAAGACACTTGGGATCTTTGGCAAACAATTCCGTTTCCCTTCTTTGTCAGTAATGGGTTCCTGAGGCACAGTGAAGCTCCCAGGGTAGCAAAGCTGACAAATCATCGGACACACCCCCAGACACATACAGGGAAACCAACGCTCATCAAAGTGCAGGGACCCAGAATAAAACTCAGGGCTCTGAAATCCCAAGCAAGGGCTCTTCCTACTGTCCCAACGTGCCAAGCTCTTAATATGGTTCATATACTATTTTATCTTTATTACTAAAAAGTCCAGCTTCGGTCTTGCTAAAGAGAGGCTGCACCAAACCATTTTCTGGGTGTCCAGTCTCATCTGGCCAGTGTGCTGCTGTTTCCTACTACACATTTCTGGATATGCTGAAAAGAGCTCCAGGGACTCTTTCCTCCAGCAGCCCCAGTATTTGAAATGGCAAAAGCATTGCCGCTGAGGCAGGAGGTGCGGAGGTTCACAAGGGTTAAATTCAGCTGGAGCCAGCTGGGTGCTCCAGGACAGGAATGGGGGAAAAGCCTTTCTTCTAGATGTTAACCTTACCTACAGTCCTGACCCACGCCTCTCGGGGATGGGACTGTGAGCAGGAGGAGAGAATCTGCACGGGGTGGCCATGTTCCCCCTAAGCTGCACTGGTCCTTTATTACCTAGAGTGCAAACCTGATCCTGAATGATAACCCCTCAATAAATGCCACGTTCTACCCTTTTCCAAATCCTCTCCTTTTAGAAACCCTAATAGCAAAATCCTCTCCTTTAGCAACTGCTAATCTTTGCTGTGGGCTTTTATTTCTGGCAGGGCCATCAGAAGTTGGTGAAATTTTGAATGTGGAAACATTTTAGGAGATTCAAAATCTCAGTTTCTTTGTTCTTGAGAATCAAATTGCTGCTGTCTAATAAATGGTAGCAAGATTAAAAAACAATTGATGATTGTTACCGAGGGGCTACAAATCAGGAAGGAATCAGATGCTCATAGAATTTCCTGCCACCCTGGTCAATACTCGTGTAAGTTTTCTATTGCTGCTGTAGTGAATTACCATGAATTTAAGTGGCTTACAACAACTAATTATCTTAGAGTTCTGTAGGTCAGAAACCTGACACTGGTCTCACTGGGCTAAAGTCAAGGCGCTGGCAGGGCTGCGTTCCTTTCAGGAGGCTCTAGGGGAGAATCTGTTTCCCTTTTGCCTTTTCCAGCTTGTAGAGGCTGCTGCATTCCTTCACTCATGGCCTTTTTCCTCCATCTTCAAAGCCAGCAACAGCAGGTTGAGTCTTTCTCGCATCTCACCATTTGCACCTCCTCTTCAGCCTCCCTCTTGCCGCTTTTAGAAGCCTGCATAATTACATTGGACCGACCTGAAAAATCCAGGATAACCTCCCCATCGCAAGGTCTTTAGCTTAATTATACCTGCAAAGTTTCTTTTGCCATGTAAAGTCACAAAAGCATGAGGGTACTTCAAAAATTTCATGGAAAAGTGGAATTAAAAGATAATACGAATCTTTTCATGAACTTTTTGAAGGCCCCTCATATAGTTTCCTAGGATTAGGAAATGGATATTTTTGGAGAGGAGCATTATTCTGTCTGCCACACCTCCTGTAGCCTCCCTGAGGAAGGAATCACGCACACGTAATTACAAGAAGGACACCATTTGGCTGTTGGTGAAAGCATTGTCAATTGTAGGGTTCATATCATCACTTATTTTTTCTTTTACTCAAATTATTGATAAATACCTAGACCCATCTCCAGGAAGGATTTTTAACATAGTTCTTTTTCCTTGCTCCTGATCCAGGGGATCTCAAGGGATGAAGTAACATTCTAAAGTTGTTTTAAAAAAGAAAGAGTTTTAATTCCTTTTGAGTTAACTAAATACATGACATACAGCATATTTCAGAGTGGTAGTTCAAAGTCAACATGCACCATGTTTACTAGGTACATGAGATAATATTGATTTTTGTAGTGGAAAAATGTGACTTCTGAGACTGGCAACTGTGGTGCGCTAGAAAGACTCCAGGCCTGGGAGGCAGGAAACCTGGAGTCCAATCCATGCCCTATCGCTTTCTAGTTCTCACACCTCTCTGAACCTCAGGTTTCTTACCTGTAAAATGGGTATTAAAAAACCCCCTGCTCCCCCGACACTTCACAATGTTGTTGTATTAATCCTCTGTGATAAGTGTTATTCAAAATAAGATATTATTTTTCTCAATTGAATTCCTCCAGGCAGTAGGATATAACCAAGAGGATAATTTTCAGCTTTTAAAAGAAAACTATACTGAAGTGTAATCCCTATTCCAATAAGGCTTTTTCTTTCATTAACTGCTTAACCTAGGAATTTATTTTGAATCTACCTTTTTTCCCCTCCTCACTGAGAAAATTGCCTTCTTAGAGTAGCATCAACATCCAGCCCATTATCAGGAAAGGAAAGAGCCCTGAGTGACACTTCGTTCCCAAGGCTCTCATTTCCATGTAGGGTGCATGTGTGTGTGTATTTTGGATGAGAAGGGGGAATGGCTTGAAAAAGAATTTTAATAACTGGCTAGATAATAGTCCTGACATGTGGACTTGATTTTTGGTGGCTAGTAGAGGGGATGTGAAAACATGGTTGGGGGAAATAGGAAAGAACAGAAAAGAACAGATGAAAACTAAAATTTATTGTGCTAACTATAGTGTGCCAGGTACATTCGTGTAGATATGATGTAAGTACGTTGAGGGTGGGGAACTAGCTTATCTGCTTTTACAGCCCCAGGGCTTCTTCATACGTGTAGGGCCCCCCAAAAAAATTATTTGGTGAATGAATAAGTGAGAGAGAGATGACCAAGAAAGTTTACTGGGGGCGGTAGGATAGATATCAGATTACAATCTCTGCTTCTTAAATAAAGAAAACATGCTCATAAAGTTGGAAGTGCAATAAACACATGTGAGAGTAAGTTTTCACCCTCTTTTCTACTTTCAACTAGCTCAGGGCTCTAGTCAAGCCCCAGTGTTCACTAGACAGGCATGAATGACCAGATGGAGGGAGAATTTAGGGCTGCTCTGGAATGGTTTTTATCCCCCAGGAAGTGGAAAAAAGAAGGAAGCCACTAGAAGAGTACCAGAGTAACTTGCCTGAAGCTCTGCCATTGTCTGTGGCCTGGGCAGGGTAGTGTGCAGTGACACTGGCCTGAGAGACTAGGGCCTTTTACACTGTTCAGAGGCACTTTGTCCCATTGCCTCAGATGGCCAAGATTCATTCCTAACAGTCAAGAGAAACCTTGGGAACAAAATCTTAAGCAGAGGGATGAGGTTCTAAGCGAAATTTCAGAGCTCAGCCAGCCTATAGGTGAGGTATTTGGGGAAACTTCATACCTCTTTGTGAATTCTCAGAAGGGAATTCTGAAGGCTTTGGTGCTTTCAATACCCAAAAGGGAGGATGGGCTTGGGGAAGGTAGCAGGCTGTGGTGTGTTGGGGTTAGGGGATGCTGTCTTGCCTGGCCTCCTAGGATCCCAGAGTTCTCTGGGCGTGAGGACTGTCTCATTTCTGGCTGTGATCATTGCTTAGTCTTTTTTGCTTCCCACACCCTTCTTTGCAGGTGTTTGCAAGAGCAGGCCTTTGGACTTGGTGTTTATCATCGATAGTTCTCGTAGCGTACGGCCGCTGGAATTCACCAAAGTGAAAACCTTTGTCTCCCAAATAATTGACACTCTGGACATTGGGGAAGCTGACACACGGGTGGCAGTGGTGAACTATGCTAGCACTGTGAAGATCGAGTTCCATCTCCAGGCCTACACAGATAAGCAATCCCTGAAACAGGCCGTGGCACGAATCACACCCTTGTCTACAGGCACCATGTCGGGGCTGGCTATCCAGACAGCAATGGATGAAGCCTTCACGGTGGAGGCAGGAGCTCGGGGGACTGCCTCCAGCATCCCTAAGGTGGCCATCATCGTGACAGATGGGCGGCCCCAGGACCAGGTGAACGAGGTGGCGGCTCGGGCCCGGGCATCTGGTATTGAGCTTTATGCGGTAGGTGTGGACCGGGCAGACATGGAGTCCCTCAAGATGATTGCCAGTGAACCCCTGGATGAACATGTTTTCTACGTGGAGACCTATGGGGTCATTGAGAAACTTTCCTCTAGATTCCAGGAAACCTTTTGTGGTAAGTTGGTAAGTCTTTGCTTCCAAGTAAAAAGGATGCTATATTCAGACACTGTGTACCCAGAGAGAGATTTATTCTTTTTTTTTTTTTGGTGGACATTTTATGGAAAGCTTAAATATATGCAATGTTTTTTGTTTTTTTTTCTCCCCAACTGAAACACACTATGTTGGTTCAGGAATATAGAGCTGCATTATATATCACTTAGTTTGCTCATAAAATCTTCATGTTTGCATTAGAAATGTGAAGGTCTGGAAATGTCCAGGATAAATGATCCTGCTGTCCCCTGCTCAGGTCAAAAAACCTCAAAAAACAAAAACAAAAGTCAAGATGCCTCTTGTCCTCTCTGCTCCCCCAGTATATTTTTTCCCTCAGATATTTTCTTTAGGTTTGCCCTCTCTAGATTTAACAGAACTCTGCTTATTCTCCTGCAGAAGACAGAGCGGTGTCTGGCCATGGAAAGATCAGCGGACCTATATTCCAGTGTAACTGTCACTTGGAGTGTGCATTTAGTGAATACTCTAGTTTTCAGATTTGGCTCTTGTTCTGATTATTCTTTGTTGAAGAATAGAATTAGGGACCAGGAAGACTGGGGTTTCAGCTCACTTGAAATATAGCAAGAAGCAGATTAAAAAAAAAAAAGCATTCAGTTACTCTTCTACTCTTGTCTTTCTTTAGGATGAAGTTTGAATATGAACATGCTAATTTCATTGGTATTTTTAGTATGATTATCCAAATCCATGAATACAAATCCATTCAAGGCTGGGGTTTATTTTGAGTCACTGAGAGAATTATGATTTGTGAGACTCATGATTTATTTTTTTACCATTTGGAGATAATCTTTTCAAGTTCTCTATGGAATAATCTAAGCTGGTCTGGACAAATTTATAGTTCAGGTGATTTTTTAAATATAGATACCTTTCTGCTATATAATTTATTCCACATTTACTTACTCAACATGCATTTATTGATCACGGATGATACAAAGATAAAGGTAGTCCCTCTCTAGCAATCAAGTAACATTCTGGGGGTGGGGGTAAGACAAACAAGTGAACCAATAATTACAATTGTAAATTTCAAGGAAACTTTAGATCTAAATTAATTTGAAACCCAGCAATCACAAGTTTGTCAGGAAATAGGAGATGAAATCTTGGTCTGGGGTAAAGTTTGGTCTCATCTCAGCCAGACTTGGCTGGGATCCCCTTGTCTTTCTTGTCTCAGGAAACCGGGCCTTCAAAGCCACCAGGCTTTAGTGGCATCTACTTGGCAGTCATTGGTTTCCAAAAAGAAGGTAGCTTTCTTTCTCCCAGGAAAACCCCCTCATGCTTGTGGGTGAGAGCTTTTCCATCAAGACGCTGGTCTGTGGCAATGTTGGGTCTCAAAGCTAGCACCTGGGGTTGGGCGTGAAGGCCATAAAGTAACACGTGGTGAGTGGCAATCTTTTCCTTCTGGTACAAAAGACCTGCTTGTTCTGGGGGAAAAATGTTCTCTCTATGGAAAAAAGACTAAGGGGTAGCTTGTTGTAGTCATCCGTTTGGAAAGATCATTTCATGAAAAGGCCCTTCTTGGTAAAATATTAGCCTTGTCCTGTTGCCAAGGTCAATGGAGGCTGGGTTACCTGACATAGGAGTGCCAGCCACCTCCAACAGGCCTCCTTGGTTTCTCAGAAATGACTAAATTCATTGATTCAACTTTCAAAACATGTTACTAGGGAAGAAAATTTCCAATGAGATATAAATGGTTCCAGGAGCAAAAAGGTGGAGATACAGTTTAGCTAATGTAGTCTCATTTATTTTGTTCTTCCTTTTCTTTTAACCTCTTTGTATTTAGCTTGTGAGTTCATTCTCCTTGTAGATATTAGAGGCCCCAAAGCTGGATACATATATATTTGGGCTCAAGAACCCATGTTGCATTCAGAAGACAGTTACCCAAATTGCCCTTCACCATTTGGATGTTCAAAGATGTATCACCATCAAAGTGTAGAGTGAGTTCCAGGCCCAGAGACATGCTTGTGTGTGAATTCTGTTTAGACACAAACTATAGGATCCTGGGAAACCAGATTCTGGCTGCAGTGAGACACCTAGCTCAGAGCACTCAGGCAGTACATTATCGTTCTCCCTATTCCTTGTGTTTGGGAAGCATCTTTTCATCGGCAGGTGGATAAACCAAATAAAACATCAAGTTGCCACACCCTTGTAAGTGTTTGGCTTCAGCTCTAAATTCATAATTCCCTTTCTCCTTTGAAAAATTCTACAGCAAGATCTGTAACTTTAAATTAGTAACATTTCTAGCTTAAGAGTGGTATTGCTAATAAGCCAGAGGCAGAAAACAAATAGCCCATTTTTATAGTGAACTAAAGACAGAATTGGAAAAGGATCTGGAGAGCCATGTCTTTCTGCCTCGGGACAAAGTATTGAAATGCTTCTTACACATCCACACTGACTTCTGTGAACTTCCTTTGCTCAGCCCTAGACCCGTGTGTGCTGGGCACACACCAGTGCCAACACGTGTGCATCAGTGATGGGGACGGCAAGCACCACTGTGAGTGTAGCCAAGGATACACCTTGAATGCCGACAAGAAAACGTGCTCAGGTGAGGCCTGCTTAGGGGACCAGGGCTGACCAGAAGTTATTTGGGGACGTACGCTCCAGGTTTGGGACTAGCCTTATGCTGACTATTGGCTGCTTTACTGTTGTTCATCAACAATATTCCTCGAAAAGGAACACAGGGAGAAAAGTGAGATATAACATAAACCAGCCATTTGTAGTACTTCTTACTAGTTTTGAAGAAAAGGGTTAGTAGGAGAGAACGCTAGTAAGGAGGAATTCCAAAACTCTTGGTCATTTTGAGGATCTGGAATTTTGCCTGGACTTTATCTAATTAAATACAAGCTGCTCCTTCCTCTCCATGAACGTAGATGCTCATGAAATCAAGAAGTATAAGAAAATTTAGAGAGGTCCTCACTTGTCTGGTACATGAATACTCACATAGCATCAATGAAGAATGGGAATTAGGTTCATTTTTTAAAATCCTAGAAAAAAGTTTTTGAGAGGAAGAAAACTTAGAGATCATTTAATTTAGCCTCTCATTTGATTTATTGTTTTTTAAAATTGACAAATAGAAATTTTATATATTTATTGTGTACAACATGATATTTTGATATATGTATAGTATACATTGTGAAGTGACTAAATCAAGCTAATTAACATATCCATTACCTCACATACTTACCATTTTTTTTGTGGAAAAACATTTAAAATCTACTCGCTTAGCAATTTTCAAGTATACAGTGCATTGTTATTAACTATAACCATCATGTTGTACAATAGATCTCTTGAACTTATTCCTCTTCTCTAATTGAAATTTTGTATTCTTTCACCAGCATCTCCCAAATAACCCCCCTCAACCTACTCATGTTATAGATAATGAAACTGAGATGCAAAGGGAAAAGACGTACCCACATCAAGGGATCTGTTAGTGAAAGGGCCAAGACCAGAAAGTCAGTTCCCAACTCCTAGTCCAATACCCTTTCTCTGTACCAAGCCGCCCCCTCCCTGTTTCATTAACAGTGTATGTGTGTGCGTGTAAGTAGTGTGGCCTGTGATTATTTATTTCCTGCATGCTTTTCATGTGCTCACATTTGTCCTGATCATATTTTGCTAGCTATCGATAAGTGTGCTCTTAACACTCATGGATGTGAACACATCTGTGTGAATGACAGAACTGGCACTGGCTCTTACCACTGTAAGTGCTACGAAGGTTATACCTTGAATGAGGACAGAAAAAGTTGTTCAGGTAAGTGGGGAGGAGTCTTTACTATTGCTACTTATCTATCTACCTACCTATCCAGTGTTGGAAGAGTAAGCCACATTGAATGGGAACTTGGTCTGTTTTCCTCTCTTGCACCTTCGAGCTTTTCCCATTTCTAAGTGGTATCCAAGATGTTAGAAATGGTAACATGTATGTATCATGGCCCACATGTGTAGATGTGCTGCTCATTTCCTTCTCTGTATGTATCTCTAACAGTCTCTTTCAAATGCTACAGGCAATTTAGTAAGTTAAAATCAAATAACGCCCCACAAGATACTTATTGCTAACAAAGGGAAAGCCAGTAACTGTGCAGTGGAGAAACCTGGCAGACACCAGCTTAACCAAGTGATCAAAGTTAACACAGTGACATCACGTAACACCTGACGTGATATACTGAGGACACAACAGCCCATCTGTAGTATTCTTGCTAAAAACTCAGAATCGTGAGGAAACATCAGACAAACCTAAACTAAGAAAAATTCTACAAAATCACTTCCCAGTACTTTTCAAAAATATCAGAGTCATAAAAGACAAAGATAGACTGAAACAATGTCCCAGATTGGAGGAGACAATGCAACATGGGATCCACGACTGGATCCTGGACCAGAAAAAGAACATCAGTGGAACAACTGGAAATATTTGAATAAAGTCTGTAGATTAGTTAATTGTTTTATATCAATATTAATTTCCTGTTTTTGATAATCATACTATGGTTGCATAAGTTATTAATGTCTGGGGAAACAGCGTGAAGTACAAGAACTCTGCACTATTTTTGCAACTTTTTCATAACTCTGAAGTTACTTCAAAATGAAAGCTTAAAATAAAATATAGTTAATATAATATCGGTACAGAGGAAAGTGCATGGACTGAAAATTTGGGTCTTGAGTTCTGATGCTGCTCTGAGTCAACTGATCTCCTTTGGGCTCATTTTTCTTATTTATAATGGGAGAGGGTTGGACTACAATTTTTTCAAACTACCTTTATGTTTTTCTAAATCTAGTGTAATTAGCCACACAACTGTTGGTATCCCTCTGAGTTGGGGTAAATCCAATAAACCTAAAAGGAATGTTTTAGAAGGTATTTAGGAGACAGTTAGGCTATAAAAACTCAATATTGATGACTTTCAAAAATAACTGAGGAAGGGCAGAGAGTAATTATTATATGTATAGGATTTTATTTAACTCAGCTAACTTCTAGTTAGAGCACATAGTGCTGATGGCTTTGATTAGCTTCCAGTAAGGTTTCCTCTTATATACCCATATTTTTAGCTGCAGATAAGAAGGGCTATATCTATAGGTAAGAAAAGACCCTTCGTCTTTTCATTTATTTTCTCTTGGACTTTTGTTTGACAGCTCAAGATAAATGCGCTCTTGGTACACATGGGTGTCAGCACATTTGTGTGAATGACAGAGCTGGGTCCTATCACTGTGAATGCTATGAGGGCTACACTCGGAATGCAGATAAAAAAACATGTTCAGGTAAGGTCCACTGAAGAAAATCTTTCATACTTGGCTTTCTGTGGCAGTGAAACCAACTTGCAATTTGCCAGGCGAGAGGTTCTTAAAAGTAACTTAGAGAATCAGCGTTCAGACATTCTGGCATGCTTACAGACTAAGGCGCACATTGCTCAGAGGGTGGTGAGCTCACTGGATTTTGCAAACATAGATCATTTCAGAAAATTACCAAGCAATGGTAGGGAGTGGCAGATATGAAAAAAGCTAATTAAATGTAGGGTCTTTATGCAGGAAAATTTTATAGCTCTGCACACTGGGGACTTCTTAAGCAAATAAAAGCTCTATAGAGGAAGTCAGTTGGACAGTAACTATTTGATGTGATAGGCTGAACTGATCTTTTTCCAGTTAAAACTTGGCCTGGAACTTTTCCGTAGCGTTAATCTTAAAGCTGGATTGTTTTAGTAAAGGAGACTTTGTAAATGTATGAATTAGACCCACACAGATCTTCCAGTAAGTTTGAAGCAAGTCATTCCCTGACAGTTTCTAAATGATCACTCTTCAGTGAATCTGAGCCTTATGACTTGGCTAATGAGCCCATGCCAGGACTGCTAATCCTCATTAATTTGATTTAAACTCACTGGCAGAACAGGGTGGCGTTTATAAATGTAAAATCACTCCTAAGAGAAATTCCTAGCTCTCAAAGTGGTGTTGACTTCTGGCATGTTATTTTTTAGATTTTATGTATATTTTCCTCTCCCATGAGGAGATATATTATGGGATCTTGTCAAGATAGGTAAGGGAAATGGCATATCACCCATTCCCTTTTTTAAAAAATGAAGTCAGTAAAAGAGTACTGAGCATCCACTTTGTTCCTAGGACTACAGTAAGCACTGAGGATAGAGACGTGTAAGTTTCTGTCTCTGAGCAACTTACAGCCTGGGTAAGAAGAGAACTCCTTACAAAGGCAAAGAATAAGTAGACAGGGAGAGGAACTGACAGGAGCTAAGGGCCATAGAGCTGGGTGGGTGGATGCTGGGAAGGAAGTAGAGCAGGCGGGACTGAAGTTGGGCCTTGAAGGATGGTGAAGATTAGACAAGAGGAGAATAGCACTGGCAGGAAGTGCCTTGCATTGGTTTGTCCAGGGGAGCAGGATGGTCAGTTGGGGTGGAGAGGACTCACACAGAACTGCACTTCGCAAACTGGTTACAGATATCCCAGTTGGCTCTCTAAGCTGCCAGGAACATTGAGGACCTGGAAAAACGAAACAAAAGCAAACTTTAATTTTAACAGGTATTATAGAATAAAATGAAACATTTTATTTAAGAAAAAAAAGAACATAAAACATCAAAGAAAATTTTCAGTTAAGGCAGACTACTCCAGGCAACACTCCCAGATGATGGTAGCGAACGCTTTTCCAGGGCCTCCTTCAGGCCTCATGCCCTTCTAGGCATTTTAGACACAGTCTTGCCTTTAATCCTCACAGCAAGTACAGGAGGAAACCGAGGCACAAATTAAGTAATTTGCCCATGGTTACTCAGTTAGTAAGTAGCAGAGCCAGGGTTTGAACCCAGGCACTTGCTGCAGTAGTTACATATGCTCTGAACCACTAAGCCATACTTTCTAACTGCACAAAGCACAGGATAACAGAGAGGGGGCAAAAGACAAGATGGTGGGAAGATTAGTATCTATTTATTTTAAAGTAATAAAGAGTACTGTTCTAAAGCTGGGGTACATACCATGGTCAAATCACCTCTAATGGTCTGCTTTCCCCTTGCTGAGTAGTAGGAAGCTTTATAATTTAAATGTGGAGCCACCGATCTGGGCCAGAAAGCATGCCCAATTGTCACCTGTAGAGTGGGTACTCAGCTGGGATGAGGGGAAAATAAAAGATTCTGCTGTTAGGCATTTTGCTGAAAAAAAATCTAAATTGTAGGGATAAAGAGAATATCCATGTTAAGATTAGAAAGGCACTCTATGGATAGATTATATAGGGCCTTGCATTTCATGCAAAACTATACTATAGGCAATGGTGAGCCATAGAAGGTTTTTGAGCATGTAATGACATTTAAGAGGACAGTTAGAGAAGAATAAACTACTTTGGCCCCTGCAATGGCAGAGGAAGAATCTATGTCTCCCAGGAAGCCCTTCTGGGTTTACTAAAGAAGAATTGCTATTTTCATTTGTCCTGGACCACTTTGGACACGGGACTAGTATGGCACTTTACTCTGCCACTCAAATTTGGGCAAACTGTCTTCATCCATGAAATGTTATTTTCTTGTGATAGATAATAAGTATTTCATTATTCAATCATACACATCATCATTATTGTTGCTATTCACATTGTTATTATTTTTCTATCTGAGCTTGTGTGTGTGTGTGTGTGTACTTGTATGTGTCTCCAGGTCACTGTTTCTTGTCCTACTTTGTAAGCTATCAAGGGCAGGCCCGTGGTCAATACAGCCCTTTTTGTGCAGCATCAAATTTAGCTCCATGTGCAATTAGGTCCTGAATAATTTTCGCTGATGGCGATGATGATATATGAATAGCTGGAGATGTTGGAAGCATTGATAGTCACCAGAAAGGCCAAAGGTAATTTCTGGAATATAATCAAGACTCAGTGCCACCCAGTGCGGTGGGCAGAAAAAAGAGAAAGCAGCCTCAAATACGTGCAAGAAATAAATAGGAAAGGAGTGCCTCTGTTAAAAAGTGAGGCTAAAGGAATGTGAGAGATGAAAAGGGAAAAATACGCTTTCTTCTGAAATATGGGGCGTGTTGCTGATTACTGAAAGTTCCTTCTCAGCACTTGTTGGGACCAAACTGAAGATTTTTTTCTCCCAGAAGTTTCTGTTTAGTTTTCTACTTAATTAACATGTGACTATTTTCTTTCCTGCACCCCTTGCGGCCAGTCCGTAACAAGTGTGCTCTGGGCTCTCATGGTTGCCAGCACATTTGTGTGAGTGATGGGACAGAATCCTACCACTGCGATTGCCATCCCGGCTACACTTTGAGTGAAGACAGGAAGACATGTTCAGGTGAAGATCGGCCCTTTAAGCCTATTGCATTTGGTAGGAGAATCTACTAGGAGCAAGTTTTTCTTTCTTCATGTCTAAAGCACAGTTATGATCCTTTCTCCTGATCATAATCCTCCAGTGGCTCCCAGTTGCCTACAGAATAAAACAATTATACCCCTCTCCCAGACAGTCTGCCCTCCATGATCTGATTCCATTCTCTCTTTTCTTTCTAAAGTTTAGAAGTGGAACTGCTGGGTCATATGAAACTCTATCTTTAATATTTTGAGGAACTGCCAATCTGTTTTCTAAAGTGGTTACACCATTTTAGGATCTCACGAGCAATGACTGAGGCTTCCAATTTCTCCATTTTTTTGCTAACATTTGTTATTGTCTGTCTTTTTAATTTTAGCTGTCTTTGTGAAGGTGAGGCAATATCTAATTGTGGTTTTGATTTGCATTTCCCTAATGACTAATAATGTTGAGCATCTTTTTGTGTTGCTTATTGGCCTTTTATATATCTTGCTTGTCTATTCAAACTCGTTTACCTATTTTTAAAATTGGAGTTTCTTTTTATTCAGTTGTAATATGTCATTTTTTTTTTTTTTGCAGATATGATTTGCAAAATTTTCTCCCATTTTGTAGGGCCTTTTCATTTTCTTGATGGTGTCCTTTGAAACATGAAAGGTTTTAATTTAATTTTGATACAGTCCAATTTATCTTTTTTTTCTTTTTTTGGTCTCTTACTTTTGGTTTTATGCTTAAGAAACCACTTTTAATCGAAGGTAATGAAGATTTTCTCCTGTGTTTTCTTCTAAGTCTTATAGTTTTGCTCTTACACTTAGGTCTATAGTCCATTCTGAGTCAGTTTTTAAAAATATATGATGTGGGGTAAGGGTCCAACTTCAGTCTTTTGTATGTAGCTATCCAGTTGTCCCAACATTATTCATTGAAAGGACTATCTTTCCCTAATTATCTTTCCCTTGGTACACTTGTTGAAAATCACCTGACCATATATTTAGGGTTTATTTCTGAACTCTCAATTCTATTTCATTGACCCATATGTCTATCCTTATGCCAATACCACAATGCTTTGATTACTGTAGCTTGTAAAACTTGAAATCAGGAAGTGTGAGTCTCCCAACTTTGTTCTTCTTTTTGAGATTGTTTTTGCTATTCTGGGTCTCTTGTATTTCCATAAAAATTTTAGGATCAACTTGTCAATTTCTGCAAAACTAGCAGCTGAGACTTTGATAGGCATTATCTTGAATCTAAAGATCAATTTGGGGAGTACTGCCATTTTAACAATCTTCCAATCTATTAACGTAGGGAATCTTCCCATTTATTGAGATCTTCTTTAATTTCTTTCAACAATGTTTTCTCGTTTTCAGTGTATAAGTCTTGTATTTCTTTTAAATTTATTCCTAGTATTTTATTCCTTTTGGTACTATTGTGAATGGATCCATCTCTCAACCTTTAATTTTGCTACATCCCAGTTTTACAATTTTTTTTGGTGGCTTGCCAGAAGGGGATCTGAACCCTTGACCTTGGTGTTATGACACCACGCTCCCAGTTTTACAATTTTCTATGGAGTGTTTTAATTAGAATATCTCACTGAGTCGGTGCCTTCATAGAGCTTAGAGTCTATCTTTGTCTTAGGCAAGACAGACACTAAACAAGTATTGTAAGTACCCATTTTAAACTCTGTATATGGATGATTGGCATGTAGTTGATATTCAATAGATATTTTCTGATTTACTGGCTAAGATGGGATTTGGGCTGGCTATCCCTAAAGTGTTCACTAGGATTTGGACAGGTGGACAGATTACATTTAATTAAAAGAGTTTATGGTCCCCCATCCCTATTTGTATCTTCATAGAATGTGGGAGAAAATGTTGGAACAAAGGACCATTCTCTATCCTCAAGATAGTACTACTCAGTTGGAAGATTACACACCAGTCTTAAGATCTGGGAGGTTACCATTATTTCTCTTGGCAACATTAGGGGCTATGATATTGAATAGGAATAGCTGTCTCACTAAATTACAGAAATAGGAGTTACTTTTCTTACTCTCTCACACTTGCTTACATGGCAATACAAAACTGAAAATTTTAGTTCCAAAGTATTTATGGGTAAGAACTAGAATTCTCAATTCAAACTATTCAATAGAATAATAGTCCTGTATAGGAAATCAGGAATTAACTAGTTTCAATCTTTGAAATATTTTGGCCATACCAATAGAGGACTGTTGTCCTCATTTTCATTTCTTAATGAGGACACAGTGTCGTAAGATTGTTTAATCTCTGTATCCTTGGCCTCCCCTTATAGCAACCATCTTTTTAAAAATTTATGTCATGGATAATTTCTGACAATCACAAAAGTATAGAGGATATAATGAACCGTCATATAATCATCACCCAGTTTTGACTATTACATTTTCTCAATGTCACCTAATACAAATTTTTCTGTGACATTAACATTCCATAGTATTTTCTCCTCTTTCTGTTATATCCTTTTAGCTCCTGGATAATGTATTTAGGTAAGTCTTATAAATAGAAATATTAAATTGTAGATTTCCTGATGTTATAATTCGTAGATAGCTATAATATTTTGTGTATTGTCATTATCTTCAGCCATTGAAGAAGCACGAAGACTCATTTCCACTGAAGATGCTTGTGGATGTGAAGCCACGCTGGCATTCCAGGAGAGGGTCAGCTCAGATCTTGAGAGACTGAACACCAAACATATCCTTTCTGGAAGGTTTTCTGCTTCTGCTTGAAGCCGACCTAGGTACTACAATTGAGCCAAACATTTTAGGACATTCCATAGGCAGGTGCCTTATTTGTTAAGTTTTAAGATGAGCAGTAGTAATATACAGCTTTTTTTAAAAAATGGTTTAATGTACCGTTTTCACCCATTTAATACTTTACATGTAAAAGCTGCCTGACTACATCTTTCCCTAGTAGTTTTCCATAGCAGTACATGCTCCTAATTAAGCTTTTACATAATAGATGGAGCAATTATGCTATGATTCCTTAATGGCTCTCTTAGTTCAGAATCTATACATGTACAGAACACGTCAGGGGTGATCAAAGGGATGTGAAATTCCAGATGACACATAGTTGTACACTTTGGCTAGCCAAGTGGCCAAAAAGCAGCTTTCAAAATATAACATAAGAAACTTTCATGATCAGTTCTTTAGGCAAAGAAGTAACTCAGGAAAAGTACTTTTTCTGCATAGCTCAGGCTAACAATTCTGTTCCTATGTACATGGGAGGAGTGGAATTCAAATTGTGTAGGTACGTAGGAGTATGCAGAGAATTTCAAGGGGAGTACGGATGGCCTTAAAGGAATCAATTTCCAAATCCTTCACTCGCTTAAGATGCCACTTGGAGTCAGTTGGTATTCTCTTTTCTCATCTCCCATTTCAGTGTCACCATTCTTTTAACTTAACACAAGAAAGGCATACCTCTCATTTTCTTTGAATCTACTAAGATGCGTTTCCCGGAAAAATGAAGTCTCTGGAGAGCCAAAGGGACAATTCAACAATTCCTTTAATCAAGACTTCATAACCATGGATCCCCATGATTCATTCCTTTAGGAGATGCCATTCCAATTAAATTACATATGAGCAAAACCATTTGATGACCACTGTAGTGATCTAATTTTATGATTTATGGAAAATAGAATTTCTGAGTTTTAGATTAGACTTTTGGTGAAAAGTTTTGCTCTTTTTCTTCACTTATGATAGGATGTAATTATTTTATATTGTGTGAAGTGTTTCAAAGTGTGTTTATGTTTTCTAATGTGTAAAAATAAATGACGTTGGCCTTAACAACTAGCTACTTGATAACATTTTGGAGAAGCTGCAAGTAAACGAATATGGACAAATACATCGTTAAATTGCTCAAATTTCTCACCTGGAAATGTGGAGAGCTTGGTGTATTTAATACTTAATTCTTTTGCATACTCGTATCTCTATTGTTCCTAATAACTTCCCATTATAAATGATTGAATATTACTGGAGAGTGTGAGGAACTTCTGGAGAACCAGTTTTTTTCCAAGGAAATAAATGTGCAGATCCTTATCATGAGCAAACTTTAGAGTTTCTAAAGCTATGACTGTGAAATGGTTGGTAGGAAATAAAATGAAAAGTTTAATGTTTCTTTATCTACTAATTGAGCCATTTAATCTTAAACATGTATATTAGTACGATAACCATATTCACAATGGAAACTTTAGATCTATTTTCTTTCACCAGTATTCATAATGTAAGTAAGTTTAATTACTGAGAGGGCAAATTGTGCAAAGTATTTACATGTAAAAAAAAGTTCATATAATTGAGATGAATATAATTAACTCTTCAACACTTTGTTTTTTGCTCATTTTTGCTGCAGTATTATTGAAGCTGTGAATGAGGGACTGTAATACACATATCTAAAAATAGTTAACACATCAAGGGAACATTAGATGCCATTTTTAACTCATTCTGGTCTTAGAAAGGAATGTACAACTAAAGAGGACTAGCTGTGAATTTAGGATGTTAAATTTTTTACCAAGGACAAAAAATCCTAAATTTACTTTATTGCTTTGCTTTAGGCTCCAATTGATATAATGATATATTTATAAAGTTGCCATAATAAGCAATAAAATCTAATCTTTTAAAAAAATGATATCTTGAATCATATCTAATGTCTTTTTAATGTTAGTGATAAGCCTAATTTTTTGCCCTTATGTATCTGATACGTACAAATTTTTTAGCTTTAAAGCTTAGTTTTAGAATAAAACATTCCATTAAATTATGTACTATTCCATTCTTTTTTAAGTTTGTACTGTCTTTAATATAATAAAAAGTTATCCTATCTACATACTATTTTCATGCTTTTGTGACATGCCAATTTTGTCTATTAAACATTTCCTTAAATTAAACTGAATTAACAATTATTTTGTGTGTATAACAGTGTCTTGTCAAAGGACAGAATGTTGAGACTTCCTATAATTTAATATCACTCTTGAGGCTAAAAATTTAAGTTCAGGTTGAACAGAAAGGTTTTAATCCAGTATGCTGTGGGAGAAGGAATAATATAGAATTGTCTAAATTGAAATAAAATAATGATGAGCTTTATTTACATTAATATAAGCTCCTGAAAAGAAAATATAACCTGCAGATGTTTATCTGAAAATACAAACTTTAAAGAAGAAATGAAAAATAAATACACCAAGGCAGTATACATTACGAAACATCTATTGTTACTTTTCAATTTTGAAAGGACATGACATAGTTACAGTATTACCTCCTAAACTTATTTGAGCACAGAATTAGTAATACATATTAATGTATCACAGAGAAATGGTGGTATAGAAGAAATAAATGAGACCTCATGTGCAAGAAGGAGGGAAAAATACTCAAAGAGAAAGATAAGTTTTTGAGACTGTGACCGTTAATAACTAGCTTCAACTAATCATGTCTTGATTAGTTGATTGGAAACCCCTGACTCTGATAATACTGATTTGTTTCGAGTCCAGGAAGGGAGTCCATGAGCAAGTGCCAATATATTTACAGTTGAATGCTGAAAAAGCAGATACACAAACAACTGAAAACAAACACATTATCTAAATGGGATAGGGATTATGTTTGGAAAGAATTCCTCATGGAGACCTGATTTGTGTCCGTTTGGCTAGGCACAATCGGCCTCTTAGAGGGTAGGAACATCACAGGATATATAAAATGGCCTGGGAAGTGAGCCTGATGGAATGCTAGTATGCAGAAAGTATATTGGCTTACTTAGAGTGGGGGCACTATAGTGAAGACATTTTAGGACTGAATTTAGATGGAGTTTAGACTTGACAGAAAAGGCACTTGGGACTATTGGCAATTCTAGAATGTGCTGGGTGAGGCAATAGACACGATGAAAGGATTTGAAGATTATTTGCCTAAAATGGGGAAAGACTCCAAGTGGGAAAATTACTGTTGCATAAAGTAAATATTGGATTATTAAATCAACAGTGGTAGCCGCAGATTATGGTAAAAGACAAAACCATTAGTAAATAAAAAGAAGGGTGAGACGAAATAATTTAACGGGAATGGCTCTACTTAGTTCTGCCCTATGCCTTAGATTTTGGGGCTTTGTAACTCTCAGGCATTCAAAAAGGACAAAGGAAGAGTGAAGAAAGAAATAAGATAGAAAAAGAAGAGAATATAGAACAGTCAACCCCAGGCAAGAAGATACCAAACAGCTCAAATATTTTAAAATGGGAGGCTATGTCCCACTGGCCATCGTACGCTGTAATGGTCACCAAAGCTCGTAAAATTCTTTTTATAAGGACCCTCGGGGCTGCGGTAACAGCTTAATTAAACTGTTAAAAAATTCCAAAACAAACAGAATAAACAAAATCTTCCCCAAACTGCTGCAGAGGGTTCTTCAGTCCCCAAAGGCGCAAGGGAAGTTTTGCAAGATTTCAAAACGCACATTTTGCACATCCATTTGGTCGACGGTCTCGCCAACCAAATACTGCAAATAACTTCTCCCTTTCAAGGATGTTGGCACCCTGGGGCTTACAAAATACCAAGTCACCGTGACCCCATTTAAACGGCGCCCTTCTTCCTCAGCTGATGTTAACCCCTGAGGAGTAGCTCCACGGTGACTGTCCGAGGTGTGGCCTGGCGTGTCCTCAGAGCCCGCCCGCACGGCTGGCAGTGGCAGGTCGCCCACCCAGCCCCCAGCGGAGAGCAGAAAGTCTCGGAGGTAAGGGGACATTGGCAACCACAACCCCTACCTCCCGTCCCGCCGCTCCTCCAGCCCACCGACGTCCGCGCAGGCGCACGACGCCTGGGGCGAGGGCGACACCGGAAGTGTCTCTCGGCGCCCCGGATGCGACCGGGCGGCGCCGGTTGCCAGGGCAACGGGAGCTTCCCAGAGCAGTTGGTACTAGCGATTGCAGGCGTAGAACCGGTTACCTGTTGCGGGCCTTGACGGCTGCAGTCGTCCTCTCGGGGATGTTCTTCTACCTGAGCAAGAAAGTGAGTCTGGGGGCGTCCCCACCCCGCCTCCCCATTCCCGCAGCCTGCGGGCGATTCCCGCCACCTTCCCGCGAAGCCGGGCGGCTTCACCCGGTCCCGACGGCGGCTTAGCCATCCCGCTGCCAACCTTCCCGCCTGGTCTAGCCGCGGACCTCCTCCTGCGGGTCCCAGAGTCCCACACAGTCAGGGCCGAGCCAGCAGCCCTGTCGCACGACTCACCCATTCCTGCCCCTGGCTAGGTCCTGTTAAGTGGCCGGCAGGTCAGGTCACCACGTGCTACCCTGTCTTTCCTCCTCCATCTGTTGCTGATACAGGTGACTTAAATTCTTGGATCATCACCGGCCACCGGGTAAGAGAAAAGGAATAACAAAAGGGTGGCCTACGCGTTGTGTGGGTAAAGGAAATACTGATTGGGGGTGTGCATTTATAACCCCCTTCCGCCTCCCTTTTAAAAATTGATCAGGTGACTCTCCCATTGACTTCCTTCGTTGTCGCTGTCCTTCTTTATGTGTACTTCTTTCCGAAATGGTAGAGCCCGGGGCAGTTCAGAAGACCACGCTCATTGTCATAACAGCTCATTTTTCTGCAAGGCCGTCCGTTTTTCTTCTTGGAAGATTTTCTTCAGCCTTCATCTCCTGTAGCCTTACTTCTCAATTCCTTCCTGAAAAGTTGCTAGTGACTGTGGTTGCTTTTACAGATTGCGATTCCCAATAACGTGAAACTGAAATGTATATCGTGGAACAAGGACCAAGGATTCATAGCATGTGGTGGTGAAGATGGATTACTGAAAGTTTTGAAATTAGAAACACAGACAGGTAAATGAATGCAAGCCTAACCCAATGTTTGAAATTGGTAGAAAATTGGCTAGTGTCATTTGTTGAGTGAGATTTGCTCATGGTATTTGTAAGTAAGCAATTATAACTCTTTTAAAAGAAAAAAAAAATCTAAACATTTTTGTGGTGCTTTTCTAGAGTATTTTTTGCAGTCAAGTTCAGAGAGGGTCAAATAAGCATCACATGGCCTTGCTGAAGCTATTGGTGGAAAATGAAAAATAATGAAGAATGAAAACTTAAGTTACTGTGTTATCTTGTGTTGTGTCTAATTATTGTGCTATTTATTAGGAGTATAATAAAAATCATGCGAATCAACATTTCAGTAAGGTCACAAAATCTCACATTTTGGCAGATGGTTTACAGGTTCATATCATCCTTTCATGTGCTAATGATTATGCACCTAGTGTCCAAGAACAGAACATGAGATATGTTTTACATTTTTATTAATAGATCTCTTGTCTTTGCAGCTTGATTTCTTTCTTTTTCTAGTTCTCTGAAATCACAGTATCTTCACATTTCTTTAGCCTCTGTAGTGTTGCTCTAGACTGAGGATCTAGATGAGGAAATTGGAGTTGGAATCTCAGCTCTGTCATGAGACTACTGAATGATTTTTAGCAGGTTGCTGAGTATCTTTGCATTTTAGCTTTAGTTCACTGTTTTGTAAAATGAAAGAGGTTAAACTACATTACGATTTGGATTTACATTTTACAGCATTGCTTCTAAACTTTATCAGGTATGAGAATCACTGGAAGAGGTTGTTAAAGTGGATTTCTGGGCTCCATCTCCCAAGCAGATCTGGGATGGGGCCTGAGAATTTGCATTTCTAGTGATGCTGGTGTTGCTGGTCCTCACACCACCCTTTGAGTAGCACTGGCTTACAGCTTTGAACGTGATATGAATTATAAATTCTTGTTGAGCATTTTCTCCGTGTACTGGATGTTTAACCTTCACTATCATTTGACTTCACAATAATCTTGAAAGGTAGGTATTCCAGGTGAGAGAATTGAGGCTCTGATCACTTGATAAGTTGCCCAAAGCCACATAGCCAGTAAGTGGCAGAGCTGGGATTTGAAACTAAGTTTGTTTCACTTTCAAGTCCTAGTTTTTAACCACTACAGGGAGGGCTCACGGACAGCTTAAGCAAAGAAGAGAATAACTATTTTGATGTGCTATGTTAATTATGTGAAACAGAAGGCAAGTTTGGAAGATACATATTTAAGTACCGATCAAAGTTTGGCTTTTGATGTTTTATAGTTTAATCTATCAATGCTTTAGATTTCTTAAATGTGTTAAAAGTAAATAATTTTTGGGCCGGCCCCGTGGCGCACTCGGGAGAGTGCGGCGCTTGGGTGCGCAGCGGCGCTACCGCCGCGGGTTCGGATCCTATATAGGGATGGCTGGTGTGCTCACTGGCTGAGCGCGGTGCGGGTGACACCAAGCCAAGGATTGAGATCCCCTTACTGGTCACAAAAAAAAAAAAAAAGTAAATAATTTTTCTCTTATGTTTCTCAAATGCATATATATATTCATATGCTTATATATGTATATATATTTATTTTGCTTGAAATATGTAGCTAGTTGTAGCTATATTAATGTGCATTCTTCATATAGAAATGCATTGAGAGCTTTTTTTTTTTAAACCTAATTCTTTTCCTGCTCTACACTTTTGATGAGCTGTGGTTAGAGTATTCTCTGAAATCAATGAGCAGGATGGGAAATAGATTCTTGGGAGGTTTGGAAAATGGAGCAAATGATTTATTTTGGAACTTAATGGTCGTGAATTGTGCTGAAAGAGATCAATTTGAGAAATGTGCCTGGGAGATTCTAACAAGGTAAATAGAATATTGTATTTAATAATAATAATGGTGATGCAGCAGATTCCTCCAGTAACAATCACCAGCTATTGCATGCCTACTACATATCAAGCACTGTGTTGTGCTGAAGATGTGACCAACAAGTATTGTGTTGTGGCTTATCTAATATTGTTGCTTTGCCTCCCATGGATTTGTCACCCCTTTTCCCCTGGGTGATGGAGCTGCCAAAGATTACTCAAAGCCCATCTCTTCTGAGCAGTGAGAAGCCCCGAAAAGGGGTTAATCTCCCAGAACCCTCAAGATAGAGGCATTCCTTCCATTTGGGAAATTAACCACGAATTCGGGTTCTCTTCCCGCATTTATTCTCCAGACCAGGAAGTTACAGGAAGAGAACATAGGTGGGGTTTTTTCTAAGTACGGTTTAACAAGTTTAACAATAGAAGCTGGTAACATTCAGTAAGACAAACAAGGTGACAGTCTATAATGCACTTAAGTCGATCCACTAACAAAAGCTTGATTTTAGCAAATGTTCTCTTCTTACAGCAATTTCCCAGTATCTTTTCATATCAATCAGTAACCTGTTGTCTTTGAGCCAGCCACCTTGCTGTGTTACAATTCCTTATCTTACAACAGAGACTATAGTCTGGGGAAAGTTTCCTGTCCTTTGCAAGGTCAATATTTGAAACTGCAAGGCTTTAGAAAACCAGGCCCTGTGAAGTACATTTGCTTTATGCATACTCCACGTAATACAAGATAGACAAGCAGTTAGAACTCAACAATATAATAGAACAATCCTCTACATCAATAAATCATCTTCTATGACACCATTTTTAGTGGCTATTTAGTATTCCGTTATATTGGTATGTCATAATTTGCTTAACTAATTCTAGTGTTGGACATTTAGATGTCTCCACATTTTTACTATTAAAGAAACAGTATCTTTGTATCCAAATCTTTGCATAAATATTTAATTATTTTCTAGGATAAATTTATAAAAATGGCATTCACTGGATCAATCAAGGGTGTGTACCTTTGTAAAGGTTTTTAATATGTGTAGCCAAGTTACCCTCCAGGAAGTTTGCACCAATTTGCATTCCTAGTTTTCACCCCCTTGCCTTAGAAGGAAAGCAACTAGAACCTGCATCTGTCCCCCTCTTTTTACATCAGGTTTGCATCCTCTTTCACATGCAGCTTCCACGTCTTTTGCTACAGCCCCTCCCCCCTCACCTCAGGAGCCTCACAACTAATTTACCCCTCTCTTTCCTTTCGATATCAGTCTTCTTTCTCCTTGCCTGGTGACTTTTGTGCTCTAAATCTAATGGACAGCTTTTTTTTTTTTTGGTTCTTATCAGTCTTTGGCCTTTTCTTCTATTTTAAAACATTTTTCAAGACAGGAGAATTCAAATGTTTAAAATTATTGTCGTATTTAAACTTTTTCTCCTTTTTCTCCCTTCTCTCTGGTCTATCCTCAGTCTCTTTACTAGATTCTCCTCTTCCAAATGTTGTAATTCCCAAGAACTTGCTTCTGGCTCTTTCTTCATTTTCTCTCTAGATGTGTTCTTTCATTTCCATGGCCTTAAATACCACCTATGGGGTGATGATTCCTAAATTTATATGTCCAGCCCAGTCCTGATTTTTCACAGTTGGGCATCTTTACTGTGTCCTAAACTGAGCTCTTGATCTTCCAAATCTCTTCTTTCAGTTCTCCCCATTTCAGCAAATACCTAAATTTCACTCATTTGCTGAAGCTGGAAACCCTCTCTTTCCCTGCCCCTTAACATCGCTTCCATCAACAATCCTGCTGCTTCTATCTCCAAAGTGTATCTTGAATCCATCCTTTCCTTTGTCTCCCCTGCTGCCTTCTAGCTCTAGTGATCATCATTACTCACTAGACTACTGTGAGAATCATTTTACCTCCTTCCATTGCCTTTTGCCACCTTCTAGTCATTCTTTACCTTCGATCAGTCTGATCTTTTTAAGAAAGGGATAGAGGAACCAGATTATGTCATTTTCCTGCTAAAAAGACTTTAAAAAGCTGATGGCCTGGACTGGAATTGCTTGTGTTAGGGTTTGAGGGTGATGACCCTAACTAGAGTTAAGGTGGCATCTCTTGCTTTTCCTACCGCCACTGCTGAGGCCTCTGTCCTCGTCCTCACATTGCCATGAGAAGAGACAGAGAGCCCTGAAGCAAAAATATGGATCAGAGAAAAAGTGTTTGAGGGCCATGCAAGCCAACTGTAGTCATTTGCACAATCCTCTGGGAACTGCAGGCAGTGGGAATGACCCAACCTTCCAGTGTGCCCAGGACAAGATTGACCAGAAGTATCAGGTCAGGTGTTCATAGCTGTATCCATGGATGTGTATATAGTTCCTTGCTGTCCTTCTCACAGAGAAGCAAGGCAGCCAAATGATCCTGCCAGGGAGTCTAGAGAACATGGTAGCAGCTCCTTTTAGAATTCGTCTCTCTCTTCAAATGTTGCAAAAAAGTCTTCCATGTAGTTTGACTCTGGATATCAAACTTATTATGCAGCATATAATAGGAATTGGGCTGCTAACAGCTTTTATGAATGCAAACAAAAGCATTGTCAAGTTTTTCTAAGAGAAAGAAAGGTTCTTCAAGATTTAATGTGCTTGATAACTGGTATTATTGGCAGGATATTCTGTTCTCCTGTATTATACTTTCATTCTCAGTCAGTTTATTACACCTTAATCTTTTAAAATCTTCTTTGGACTCTGAGGTATTTTGAGTTGTTGGAATTACAGATTTTATTCTTAAGTTCTTTTTCATGGGCTTAAAATACCTTATTTTATCAGGCCTTTTAAATCCAAAGCCTATTGGTATGTGCTTTTAGAAGATTTATGTTAGTGTTACCATATTTTTGTCCCCATACCAGTTTGGTTTCTTTACCTTACTGGCTATGTGAAGGTTAGTAATATAATTAGATGGAATCTTGGGTTATTGCTGATTTTACTTCATTTAAAACTTTTGGCTTTTTGTTGACATCTGAGACCTTTCAGGTGGGTTTCAGGTTGTGGAGTTTTTGCCAGCAAGAGACATGTTCAGTTCTGGATGATATTTGTTCAGTATGTCAAGCTGAATTTCAAAGCATCTTCTCATCTGTTAGCATATATCTTGTGAAGAGTACCCTAATTTATGGCTTAACAGAGAGAAAACATGTCTGCTGTTTAGAACTGTGATTCCAGACCATATAAACAAATGGAATGATGGGGCTACTTCATCAACCCTTCCGATATATTAGATCTGATATACCTTTAGAACCACTAATTTTACTTGGTTACAGTGACTATTGCTAAAGGCATTAGAATGGATTTCTTAGAGCTAGAAGTTAAGAAAAATATTTTCATCAAACATTTTTAGAATTTTAGAATAAAGTTTAAGTGTATTGTACAATTTTTACGGGATTAAATGAGTAAAAGAATCCTATGTTAAAAAATAATGTTCACCCTAATGGTATGTCAGCAACATTATATCTTAATTGTTTGACAGATGATTGCAGTGTTAAACTGTACATATGTGTTCTTGTTAATGTTACCAAGATAGCAATTGGATAATTATAATTAGTGGTTTAGAGAAATTCCCCAGGTATTTTTTCCTGACTGTTTTCAGAATAAAGAATATTTTTCATTATATTTTAAGATACTTGATATCTGAAAGAATTTTCTATAGCATTGCGTTTTATAATTCCCATGCTCACAGATTCATAAGATTTTCATAAAATTTGTGTTTTATTTATTTATTTATTATTATTATGATTATTTAAAAAAAATTTTATTGAACCAAAACTGATTATACGTATTTTTGGGGTTCAACATTGAGATATGTTGATCAAATCAATATTACTAGCATATATACTGTTACAAATCATAATTATTCTTTATGCCCCTTGTCCAATTTCTCTCCATCCCTCTCTCACTCCCCCTCTCCCCTCTAATTATCCTAGATTTCTTCTCTCCTGAAAGGAGAGGTTGATTTGTTGATCTGTTGCCTACATGATCTGTCCAATGTTGAGAGGTGTGATCAGGTCCCCCAGTATTATCATAGAGCAGATGCTTCTTCTGTCACTCTGAAATGGGCTTTGTGTAGAGAGACGTCCTCTTCTTTTCTTTATCTCTGCTGGTGACTCTCCTTGTGTCAATGCACTCCAGTGCGTGGTGGACCATCTGCGTGGTGGTTGTGGTGTCTAGCTGCTTTAGTGGCAGCCATGGTTATTGTGGTGGCTGTGGTGGGCCACCCACATGGAGGTGATGTTTTTGGCATGCTCCTTGGTGCTGGGGGTGTGCCTGGTTGTGGGGAGTATCTGGTCCCCAGATCCATACCTCAGTCCCTGGGCGGGCTCCGAGGCGCTGGCGTGGAGTGTCTGGGTGTGGGAGGGATTCAGGTCCCCTTTTCATGCCTCGGATCCCTGGACAGGCCCTGAGGTGCTGGCGCGGTATGCCTGGTTGTGGGAGGGGGGTCTGGTCCCAGTTCCATGGCTCATGTCCCCTGGCAGGCCCCAAGGCGCTGGTTGTGTGCCTGGGCTGGAACTAATTTTTTGTCCTTTGCTTACTTATAAAATGGGAGAACTTCCTGTGGGAACCAGTACTTGAGCTGTGTGGTTGAGCTAAATTGCTGCTTTGCTGCTATTTTCCTAGAGAAGGCTTTTTGTGAAGCTCAGAGTTTAATGGTTGACCTTATAGGTACTCCCAGCTTTCCAGAGACCTGATGCACCTGGGTTGTATAGAAACTCTGGTCTGGGCATGAGTATTTTCATCAAACTGCACCCCATGTGTCGAGCTCTTTTACCTGCCTGTAATCCTGTTTGTGATGCCAATTGTCAAGCTAGGGCTGGGTCTGGAGCTCACAGACCTCCCAAGCCCATTGTCCAGACTGGGTCACAAACCCTTCACATGCCAGGCTGGGTCCCCAGACCCCTCACATGCAGGTCTATGAGCTAGGTAACTGGCCAAAAGGGTCCTTGGAGCAGTAGGTTCGAGAGCATGGCTGCCCGAGGCAGTAAACACCAGCCAAGCTGTGGTGCTGCGCATGCGCACTAACGCCACCCACATACAACTTATTTACAAAGAATGTGCTGCACCACCCCCAACCAGACCTAAGGTGAGGGGGCCTGATTAAATTATTCTATTTTCCCAGCACCATGCAATTCTGCATTCCCTACTAGTCTCTTCTGAGTGGTCCTGCGCTGAGTGGCGGGTGGATCAGCTGTCCTTGCTGTGTCCCAGTGTTCTCTGGGTGGACCTGTCTCCCCTACTGCCCGTGATCCAAACACTTCCCATGGAACAAGCCCTTCCCCAGTCCTTTGTGATGACTCACTGGCCTCTGAATGGCTCCCCTTTTACAGTTGTTCTGCCTCATTCCTGCATGGGTGCATGGGAACCCTATTAGTGGTCTTGCTGTCCTGGTGGCCACCAAGGCCCTCTTCTCCCCTGCTGCCTCCAAGCAACGCCATCTGAAGGGCACAGCTGCGGCTTCTGCCAGCTCCTGCTCCATGTGCTCAGCAGCTGGAGCCTTAAAGAGGCCACAGCCCGAAACGTTCTGAGCAGTTTTTTCTTTCTCTCATCGTGGCTTCTCACGCCTTCTTGAACTCCGTAGGTCTGTCCTCCTCTTTCCCCGAGCTCCAGGGGCCCCAGCTTGGCTGATGTTACATGTTTATAGTTGTAAATTGGTTGATTTGTGGGAGAGAGTGAGGCTGAGGACCCTCTATTCCACCATCTTGACCGGATTCACTGTTTTATTTTTAAACAAAAGTTTTAAAAGCTATATTTTATATGTAACAACAGATATTCCAAGATTAATTTATTGAGATGACGTTTTTATACTGCATTATTCTCTGTAGAATGATTAGTAACCAAGGAGAATAAATACATTTAAAAAAATTCTTCAAAGGCTTCTATTGTACTTTGGATAAAATCTGAAATTCTTGTCATTTCCTGCTGAGACTTTATAATTTTTCCTGTGCTGTTACACTAGCCTCATCTTGTGCCGTTATCTGCAGGACTTCTTTCAATTTCTCAAGGAGCCTAAATTTCTACCTCGGAGCCTTTTCATACTGTGCCTGGCTGTCTCCAGTTTACCCTCAGTCTCAGCTTAGATGTCATTTCTTCAGAAAGCCTTCCCTGGCACACACTCCAGTCTAAATTAAGCCCCTTCTGTTGCTGTCTCTTATTATGCCTTTACTTTCCCAATTTATAATTATATTTACTTAATGTGTGTGAGTGTATATTTAATATTTGTCTCCTCAGTAGACTACAGGCTCTCTGAGGGGAGAGGGGAAATGACCATGTTGTTCATCATTTTATACCCGGAACCTTCCATAGTTCATAGCAGAGTATACACATTCAATAAATATCTGTTGAATAAATGAATAAATGTAGGAGTGAGTATGTGATTTTTCAAAATCTAGTAAAAACCTGTTTCCAGACGTTTTGCTGTTCGATCACTTGTAAACTTTAGAGTTTTCAGTCTATATGTCATAAATATTTTTATTTGTGATCTTTCGGGAAGGATAATTAACAATAGTAATTATTAATATATTAATGTACTGAATGAACAATGTTCTTTTATATGTTTTGCTTTATTTTACCAGAATAATTATCTTTGCAAGGGGTATGTATTATTGTTCATGTTTGCCCCATGGGAAAAATTGATCAGAATGAAGCATACTTGAAAAAATCATTTTAATATCTCCCAGGAATACAAACCCTGCCCCCCCCAGAGAAATGTCAAAATCTTATAATCTGTCACTTTCATATATTTATTAGTTTGTTTTGTTTTTTCTTTTCTTTTCTCATCACAGTTTATTATTTTTTAAAGCACTAATACATTAATTTTACTGCCAGAGAGTTGCGTTTCTTGTTATTATTATTATTATATTTTTTATTTTTTTACTTTTTATTTATTTTAATTTATCAATATACAATGTAGTTAATTTTCATGTCCCTTTACCAATTCCTCCTTCCCCCACCCTTTTTTTTTTAGATGATGCAAAATTAAGGATTCTTTCTATGAATCAGACTCTTGAAGGTCATAGTGGTGAGTCATCCAATTTTTAAAATCATTTTTGAAATTAAAAGCCATCTACTTAATGCAGAACTGTCAACATTTTAAATAATGGTGATACTTAAAGCAATCATTTCTGTGGAGCCATAACTAACACGGCCTGGAATTATTTGACAACTTTTTCATGATTGAACAACACGTTCAGTAAATCTGAAAAAAAGTAGCTGTTATTTTATATATTAAAAGATATGTTATCTGTCTATGGATGTTCCATATAAAATCCTTTTTTAGAATTTGTCCTGTGATTCCAGATTAAAGGAGAGTAAAGAGACATAACAACTGAATGTACTGATTGATCCTAGATTGGATCTTGGAATGAGGAAAACAAGTATCTATAAAGGACATTATTTGGACAATTGATGAAATTTGAATATGTACTGTGTGTTAGATAACAATATTGTATCGATGTTAAATTTCCTAAATTGTAATATGGTTATGAAAGACAATGTTTTTAGGAAATTCTTAGGAAATATATACTAATGTATTTAAGGATAAAAAAAATGAAAAGATATCAGTTATTCATATAACCCAGAGGTTTAAAATGTGCTCAAGAGTGTGTGACTAATAGAATTGAAAACAAGAGGGGTGGGGGGGAGAGATTATGAGACATGTCAACCAAATATACTCCCCCAAAACTAGTATTTAGTAGTATGTCCTTTGGACATCATAATCCTTGGGAGTCAGGTCAATTGGGTAATCATGCTTATATTTGCTTCCATCATCAGACTTATGGCAGCTCTTGCAGCTGGCCATGATAGGTCGCCTTTGGTGACATGAAATAGGGATACATAAGAAAAATAGTAGTGTGCATTGTTGTAGAAAATTAGTGCTATTAATCCTATGAATTAGTGATATGCATCCTATGAATATTTTTGAGTAATTAATTGAAGACTGGTTAGTTGCACAGGAACTACATTGATTTTAACATAACCTTGGTGTTTATTTATATAAACATATAAATTTGAAATTAATTGTAATCTTTTTTAAGTTTCCAAATTGTTTTATAATGTTCTAGGTTCTGTTCAACTTGCAACATGGAATGAACAGTATCAGAAGTTGACTACCAGTGATCAAAATGGGCTCATCATTGTCTGGATGTTATATAAAGGTATATTAGGAGAGATTATTTAATCTTTCACATATTGGAGTCTGGATCACAGTGTTTGGATGATTTAATAACATCTCCCAAATAGACCCCTTTTAGCAGCAACCAGAGTTCATCCTGACTGCATAGTGACGATATTTCTGGATTGATTGCTATCTACTTTTCTGTTCAGTTTATTTTCTTTGAACTGTGACCCTGCATTAAGAAAGTGAATTAGGTGACGGTTGGCTACCTCCAAAATGGACTTAGACTCTTAGTGGAAGAATAGTTTCTACTTGAGATAGCTCTTTTTTTCCCAGATTTCCAGTAAGAATTAGTTCCTGTGTGGCCGGTGGCTGGAGTTAGCTTAGTAGATAAAGACACATTTATTAAGAAGTCAAAGGCAATAATTCATTTTCTGTATGGGGCCAGTTAGTTTCCATTTTTTTTTTATTCACGGATACAGATTTTACCTCAACTCTGATTACTGGCTCACAATTTGTGCCTCTTGTCCACAAGAGAGAATGAGAGAGCTAGTGAGAGAAGGATCAACTTAGATTCATCATACTACCGGAAAAACAACTCATAATGTACATTTTCCTGAGGCCTGTAGCCATCATCTTCAGAAGGGAAGGGTATCTTAGTTCATGTGTGCTTTTTCATTCCTTTTTTTTTTTTTTTTTGGTGGATGGCTGGTACAGGGATCAAACCCTGGACCTTGGTGTTATCACTACCATGCTCTAACCAGCTGAACTCTCTGGCCAGCCTCACATATGCTTTTTTGAAAAGGTTTAGTGTAAACCACTTAAAAATTCTTAACTAAAAAGTATGCTGTAGTACTTGAATTTTTTAAAAAGTTTATGTGTGTGTGTGTGCAGGGAGTAGAATGTGAAAGTACAGTAGATTGGAGTAAACTTTGTCTGTTTCTGGGCCTCCGTCCTGATTCTGTTAATACCCTGCTCTGACTAGTTATTCTAAATTACATGATTATTTGCTTGGTTGCAGTTCAGAATTTCCTATATCAGAATGTAGTAAATCCTTTGAAAAACACAAAAGCACAACCAAAATAGCCTTGTTTTTTGCCTGCAATTTGGTTATACTACAATACAAGTCACGTCTCACTCCGATCCTTTGTACAACTAGAATTTTTTTGTCATTTAGAATTAGTGATATGATTTCACTAATGTAATATGAACTGTTTAAGAATTTTTTAAAGCAGGCTTAGAGTTTACCTGATATGCTATATTTAATATGCTTGTAATTAATCCTTGGAAAGTTTATACATACATATAAAGTTATTGTTGTTATTCTGGTTTTTTTTCTGAAGTATGTTGTTCAAGTGAGAAGTTAGGCTTTCAGAAAAAACAGTTGTTTTGGCACTGCAAAAGCAAATTAAATTTGATTTTTTAATTGCCAGAGAGAGAGAGAGAGAGAGAGAGAATGAAAGACAGAAAGACTAAAAGAAAAAAGATGGGCATTTATTATGTTTTCTGTGATAATCTTTGAAATAATTATTAGTCAAGGCCTAAGTTAATATTTCATTTTGTTTATGTGGGATTTGAAGGTTTTATAAATTAATATCTGAGGTTGTAGAAAACTTTGCAATTATTTATCCCATGGGTTACTTTATGGAATGTCTTAACTCCTAAGTACCATTTAATAGATATGAAAATTTTCATTTGTAACTTTTTTAATTCGGGAAAACAGGCTCTTGGTATGAGGAGATGATCAACAATCGAAATAAATCAGTGATTCGAAGTATGAGCTGGAATGCTGATGGACAGAAGATCTGCATCGTATATGAAGATGGGGCTGTGATAGTTGGTTCAGTGGAAGGTAATGCATTGATTGGACATAGAACAAAGATCAGTATTTAACTGACATTTTTTAGTTTTTAGAGATTTCGATCAATTATCATATGTTAGCATTATGACTGAAAAACAGAGAAAACAGTTGATATATAATTTAATGACATTCTAGAACCACATTTTGGTTCTAATCATTTGTTTTTAAGTATATTCAAGGAAAAGTATCTATTTCTTTTTTTAGTGGAAATGAGCATGTCATTTTTAGTTGTATTTTATAGCCTTAAAACCTATGTCTTTCAAATTCTAATACATAGATAAAACTGGGTGTTCTGAGGTTCCACACCTTTGTTTTAATGTGAAACTGTCTATAGAGAAATAATTTATTTTAAAATCATTTTCATTTCTCCGTGTGTGCGCATGTGTGTGTGTGTGTGTGTGTGTGTGTGTGAACTTTATGTAGCCAACAAATGTTTCTGAGGTCCTATAAAGCAGCAGCTATAGTTTTAAGAACCAAGTGTACAACAATAAAAAGTATTTCAGACCTGGATCGGGGAGATGGGTGAGTAACCAGACAATTACAGTACCCTGTGATAAAGTGCTATGGTAGGGAAAATATAAGAACATGTAGAATTACCACCTAATGCAGACTTGGAGCAATAGGGGGAGGCTTCCTGAAGGCAGTGGTGTCTATGCTGAGACATTAGCCACAAGGTAGGTTGGTGTATAGATTGCTCAGGACTAAGATATAGCATTTGTGGAGATCCAGAGGAGTTGAACTTAGATAGCCATGGTTGGGGAACTGAAAAAAGTTGAGTATTAGTAGAGTTTAATACTAAATGTGAACAGTGGTATGTAATGAAACTGAAGAGATAAACAGAAGCAGATCATAAGTTATATTAAGTTTGGACTTAACTCTAAGAACATTGGGAAGCCAGTGAAAGGTTTTGATAATGGAAGCAGCGTGATCAGATTTGTTCTTTAGAAACATCTCTGTGACTGCAATATGAAGAATGGAGAAAGGAAAGAAGGATAATGGGAGGCATGTCAGTTAGGAAATTGCTCTGTAATTCAGATGAGAGATGGTAGTGGATAGTACCATAGACCTTATTATTGATCAGATCGGAATGAGAGGATAGAAGCATCTAGGGTGATAGCCAGCTTTGGCAACTGGCTTGATTGTGGTGCCTTTCAGTGAATTACGGAGCGTGGAGAAAGACTGGTTTTGACAAACGAAAGATTTCTGTTTTGGACATGTTGATTTTTATCATACTATAGGCCATCCAAGTAAATATATGCAGGCCATATTTAGATATATATGTCTGCAGCTCAGAAATATCTGGGCTGAAGGCATAATTTTGGGAGTCATCAGCATATGCATGATAACTTAAGCCATTGGAATAGATGAAAAAACCCAAGGGCCATCTGTGGAGTTAATAACCAGTAACATTTTTTTTTTTTTTTTTTTAAAGATGACCGGTAAGGTGATCTCAACCCTTGATTTGGTGTTGTCAGCACCACGCTCAGCCAGTGAGCAAACCGGCCATCCCTATATAGGATCCGAACCCGTGGCCTTGGTGTTATCAGCACCGCACTCTACCGAGTGAGCCACGGGCCGGCCTAATAACTAGTAACATTTAAGGGATGGGCAGAAGAAGAGAATTCCATAAAGGATGCTGGAAAGTGGAAGTCTTGGAGATAGAGTCTGTGGGCTCATGGAAGTCTGGAGAGTGTCAAGAGGAGGGGGTGGTAAAAAAAAAAAAAAAAAAGAGAAGTATCAATTGGCTTTAGCAACAGGCCATTGTGACTTCCATGATGGCAGTTTCAGTGGAGTTGTGGGGCAGAAGCCAGACTGGGATAGGTTAAGGGTTAAGTGGATGTTGAGGAAGTGGAGACTGCAGGTGTAAATAACTCAAGAAGTTTGGGTGGGAAAGGAATTGTAGAAATAGATGGTAGCTAGAGGGGGAACGTGGGGTTGAGAGAAGTGTTTTTTGTTTTCTTTTGTTTGGTTTTATTTGAGGTGATGGTTTTGAAGTGGAATAGACTTACAAATGTTTAAATGCTTATGAGAGAAGCATTCTCCTTGCCTGGAGAAAAGAGTTTAAGGAGAAAGAGAAAATGAGAATAATTAATAGAGGGAGATCTTTGCAAAGCTAGGAAGGGATTAGACTAGAGAATAGGTGGAGGGATTAGTTTTAGATAGGGGTCTGCTTGGGAGATTCCTTTTCCTTTGTATTAGGGAGCAAAACAAAGAATAAATGTGGATTTAGTTATGTTCTGAGTGTTTGAAGATGAGAATGAAGAATTTTCTTTTTTGGAAGCTTTTATTTTCTTTCCAGAGTAGAAGATAGGCTCGTCTGCTAATTGGGGGTGAGATCTTATATCAGAGTTTAAAAGTTAAAGGCAAAAAGTTTGAAACAGCTGCTATTTCAAATGTCTTGTAGGGTATTTGGCACGTACAGGTGCTCAATAAATATTTACTGACTAAGTAGATTGAATGCTGTGAAGAATGTGAGAGCTCTTTAGGGAAACAGAGATTTCAAAGACAGTTGTCAGAGGATCATGACCTTGAACTTTTAATAATTATGTTTATGTTTTGTTTTAGGGAATCGTATTTGGGGAAAAGACCTGAAGGGTTTACAACTATGCCACGTAGCATGGTCGGCAGATAGTAAAGTCTTACTTTTTGGAATGACAAATGGGGAAATACACATTTATAATAATCAAGGGAATTTTATAGTAAGTTTATATGTTCATTAGTTTTATATATAATTTTATTATTTTATATATCATTCATATATGTATACACATTTATTTATTTTGATGGTTGTATATTTAAAATCTTCAATTCATGTTTTTTCTTTTTTCCAAATATCTAAATTTTTTTTCAATTAAAAAAAGTATTGGGGGCCAGCCCCATGGCTCACTTGGGTGAGTGTGGCGCTGGGAGCTCCAGAGGCCACGGGTTCAGATCCTGTATAGGGATGGCTGGTGTGCTCACTGGCTGAGCGTGGTGCAGACCACACTGTGCTGAGGGTTGCGCTCCCCTTACCGGTCCAAAAAAAAAAAAAAAAAGTATTGGTTTCTTCAAGGCACATTAATGTGACATGTTAGTGTGTAGCTTTTACTTCCAATTTTCTGGTAGCTGAAAGGGATGAGATGTCAGTGCATGGAAGCAGAGAGATACTGAGTGCAGTTTAAGTTTTGTAAGTGTCTTCTGATATGTGAAGCCAAACTTTCCATGCAGATACCACAGATATCTTTATAGCAAGCTACTAAACGTTGTTTGTAAAAAGAATGGGAGACTTTAACAGTAAGGGATAAAAATCAGTTTCTGGAAAGAAGGTAGAATAGGCTCTGGTAGCATAATCTGGAGAAAAATTCTGGCTTTGCAGGATGTAGCTATGATAGGTCTCTGATCTATGGATGGGGCAGTTTTATTTTTGGTACGGATTAGAACATTACATAAATCCACTTACTGGTGAAAATAAAATAGCTAAGTTTTGTATGACACTTGGCTATTTTCAAAGTACTTGTGTATAGCTCTTGTCATTTGAGTCTCATAAAAACTCTGTGAATGTTTTTTTAATCCTAATTTTACAATGGAGACTCAGGTTAAGGTGATTTGTCCAGGGTCGGTAAACTAGTAGGTGATTAAGATAGCATTTGCAAGCAGATTTTTTTTTTTTTCCTTTTTGTCTTTTTTCGTGTCCGGCAACGGATCGCAACCCTCAGTGTCGTGCCCGTACTGGACCGGGACCGGCAACGGGATCGCAAACCTCGGTGCTGCACCCGCACCTTGCTCAGCCAGTGAGCGGGAACCGGTCTGTATGTGGGATCCGAACCCTCGGCGGGAGCGCCACCATGCTCTCAAGCAGCGCACTGTAGCAGTGCGCCACCGGGCCGGCCCACAAGCAGATTTTTAAATCCTGTTTTCAGTGTTTTTTTTCTACAATACTCTCTACACACTGCTCTGTTTTAAAATGTTAAGTATTCAACCTAACCAATTTCACTTAGATGAAAATGAAGCTGAATTGTTTGGTGAATGTCACTGGAGCAATCAGTATTGCTGGAATTCACTGGTACCATGGCACAGAAGGCTACGTGGAGCCCGACTGCCCTTGCCTTGCTATTTGTTTTGACAATGGGAGATGCCAAATAATGAGACACGAGAATGACCAAAGTAAGTCTGTTTTTTTTTTTTTAAATGTGGAGAATTTTAAAAATATTTAAAAATTGTTCTTAAGATTATAAAGTTCTCCAGGCTAGTATTTTACCACAATTACCTCATTTTTTTCTTTTCCACTAGATCCAGTTTTTATTGATACTGGCATATGTGTGGTAAGTGTTCAGTGGAACCACATCGGCAGTGTATTAGCTGTGGCAGGCTCCCAGAAGGCAGTCACGCAGGATAAAGACATCAACATTGTGCAGTTTTACACTCCATTTGGTGAGGTAAGCACATTGAAGTTTTATCTTCTTTCTTTCTACTTAAATGGTGAGTAGGGTGAAAAAGAATCAAGGAAAAGTTGTGAACTTGTCACATTTTCTTTTAGGGACACTTTGAGTAATAATCATGAGATATCAAGAGTATAGCTGAATAAGATCTTTATATTGTAAGTCTTCAGTGTCATATTTTATCATGGAATTTATTTTATAATATGTATATTTAGAAAACCAGAAGTTTGATATAAGAAATCACTATGGAGTAGTTATTTAGAATATTTTCTCTGTGGTCTGAATATGTGTCTCTTTTCACGGAGGAGTAATTTTTAGTGTAATGCTGTTTCAGTTTAATTTTTCTGATTTTTAAATGTGCTTAGATATTAATCATACATATCTATCTCCTTCTGCTAAACTTCTAATAGTTTTCATTTGTTGCAGAGTAATCAATTATTTTGAGAAAACCTGTCTTAATAATTAATCTTAAGTGACACATTAAAATGTAAGCATTGTTTTCATAAATGCATATATTATCCTTCTCAATAGTATTATTAATCAATTTCTTTTTTTTCTTTTTTTTTTTTTTTTTTTGTCTTTTTTTGTGACCGGCAACGGATCGCAACCCTCAGTGTTGCGCCCGTACCGGACCAGGACCGGCAACGGGATCGCAACCCTCGGTGTTGCTCCCTCACCTCACTCAGCCAGTAAGCGGCCGGTCTGTATGTGGGATCCGAACCCTCAGCGGGAGCCCTGCCGCGCTTCCCAAGCGGTGCACTGTAGCAGTGCGCCACTGGGCCGGCCCCAATCAATTTCATTTTTAAAGGTAATCTTCTGAAGTGGCATTGGAAAATGTCAAGTAGGAGAACTAATATATTGTAAATTTTAAAGAATTTAGAAAACAAGAGCTTATTAATATCAAATTTTAATATATTTTTGCATATTTTATTTTCTAACCGTATACTATATTTCATTCCTTTTGGATACCCTTTTGGTTTTTATAAATTCACTATAGACTACAATGGCATGTATTTTTGGCTCATAAAAGCCTGTACTTTTACATTTAATATTTTTATGTATTTTAATAATTTTTATAAGGGTAAGAAACATTTTAATGTTAAATTTTTATGTTCATAAAATATTTTATGTTCATATTTTAATGATAATATTTTTATGCGTTTTAACAATTTCTGTAAGGGTAAGAAATGGTGGTGTCTGATGCTATTGAATCAGTATGTCAAAGGTACCCAGGAGAATGTGCTGTAGAGAGTAGGTGCTCTCTATACATTGTCAGCAAACAATATTTCTGTTTGATGTAAAAGCTAAGGAAGAACAAAAGCATAGTTTTCAAGGGTCCTAAATAATTATAAATCTGAATTCTAATTATTTCTATGTTTATAACCTTCTTCTTAATTCACACTCTTTATTAGTTATTTATTTATTTATTTTTCCTTTTTACTGACCGGTAACGGGATCACAACCCTCGGTGTTGTGCCCCTACCGGGGACCGGCAACGGGATCACAACCCTTGGTGTTGCTCCCGCACCACGCTCAGCCAGTGAGCGGGAACCGGTCTCCACATGGGATCCGAACCCTCGGCGGGAGCACCGCCGCGCTCCCAAGCGGCGCACTCTCCAGTGCGCCACCGGGCCGGCCCATCTTTATTAGTTATTTATTTATTTATTTTTCCTTTTTACTGACCGGTAACGGGATCACAACCCTGGGTGTTGCTCCCGCACCACGCTCAGCCAGTGAGCGGGAACCGGTCTCGACATGGGATCCGAACCCTCGGCGGGAGCACCGCCGCGCTCCCAAGCGGCGCACTCTCCAGTGCGCCACCGGGCCGGCCCATCTTTATTAGTTATTTTTGTTGGTGTCCATTGACTTATTTATCATAATATCATTTTATTTGTTAATTTTCATTAGTTCAGCCTTCTCCAAGTAGAAAAACATGAGTTCTAAGGCCTATTTGTTTTATCTTTCAAAACAATGCATTAAGTCTTAAACTGAAAACTGCAAGTGGGCTTTGGTCCAGCTGGAATCAAAATTATCTAGCCTAGTTCCTCAGGGCATATTTAGTCACTTAATATTTTTTGAATGAGTGAATATATGGGGGATTTATTTTAGGATCAATGTTATGTTAAAATAGGGACGATAACTTGAAAGGAAGTTACCTAAAACTTTAAACTTAAACAAACCTCAGGGAAGAATTTGCTTTTGATTCTGAGGGCTAGGATCTTCTGCACTGTGATCTTTTGTACTGTGGTCTTAGCCATGGTAGGGGACAACAGAGCATGGGGTTGGTTTGTGGTCAGGTTGACCTGGCTTTGAATTCCATTTCCACAGTGTAGTTTCACTGAGAGAAGTTATTTAACCTCTGAGACTCAGTTTACTTATTTTCTGAAATAAAGGTAATATCTCATGGTGCTGTTGTAAAGATGAAAGGAGATAATGAAGAGGTGCCTACCACAGTGCTTGGCACTTAGTGAATGCTGTCTAAAAGCTGGTTTTTTCCTTGCTACTACTGTCACCTGGCTTATTTGTGCAGTCAGGCGATGGCCTTATTCTCTCACTGTCGATGGGTCACTATCAAGAGTAGTGTTGTGAGCGTTTGCTTGTTCCCTTTGGTTTTAAACAGGCAGCAATACAAATAGTTTGGACCCTCCACAGTTAAAACTTTGGTTTGTTTGTTTGTTTTCCTATTGGCTTCCCTGGCAAAATTGAGTTTAGTACATTTTTCTGCGTCTGTTTTGTGCCACTATAACAGAATACCACAGACTGGGTAATTTATAATGAACATAAATTTATTGGCTCATGGTTCCAGTGGCTGAAAAGTCCAATATCGAGGTGCCAGCATCTTGTGAGGGCCTTCTTACTATGCCCTCACATGGAGGAAGGTGTAAGGGCAAAAAGAGAAACAAGAGGGGTTCAAACTTGCTCTTTTATAATGGTGTAATCACCTCTTAAAGTCCCACCTCTTAGTACGTTCCACTGGCAATCTAATTTCAACGTGAGTTTTGGAGGTGACATTTAAACCATAGCAACATTAAATTTGACTTCCTAGAATATCTTCTTAAGAACAGGGGATACCAATACAATTTATTGAAATTCTTAGGATTATACAGTTCCGTTAAATAAGAAGTATAGATTGAAAGTGTTTTTCTTTTTCTGGCCACCTTAAAAAATCTTTGTAATTATTTATTCACTTATTAATCTAGTCATAAAATATACAATGTTAGTGTATGAAGAAATTGATTTGAATGTACTATACATTTATTTACTTATCAGATATTTACTAAATACCTGTTTACCAAGTAATCTATTAAGGGATAGGGAAATAAATATGAATGTGATGAAGTTAGTGCTCTCAAGGAGCTTACTGTGTAATTCTCTGAAAGCACAGAGGGAGGGAGGAAGGCAGGACTCACTGGGAAGGTGACATTTAAGTTTTATGTTGTAGGATGAATTGGAATACTCCAGGAAGACAAGAAATAGGATAGGGCAGCTGTGGGGGGAGGAGAAGAGGATTTGGGCAGAAGGGATATTATATGGGCCAGAGGTATGGAGGCACAGTATTCCCTCATGAGTGAGCACACAGTAATTACAGCTTAATACTCGGGTATTAAGTCAAACAATGTAGTTTGGGGCCAGATCGGAAAAAAGGCATTGTATGTCATGCTAAAGGAAGTGATGGTGGGGAGCTATTGATTTTTTTTAATTATAAAGCCTTTTTTAAAGCAGGGTAAGATACGGTTAGATTTGTATTCCAGAAAGATACTTGTGAAAGCAGAGTAGAGATTGAATTTGGGGAGTGGAGGGTGAGATGAGGAAAGACATAAAAGGTAAGAATTGACGTTAGGAGGCCATGACCATAGTTGAGTCATGGAAAGAGGCAATTGTGAAAAGTTGAAAGGGGTAAAAGCAGCAGATGTGGTGACTAGGTGGTTGTGGGGGATGAAAGAGAGAGGCAAGACTTCAGGATTGAGTTTACTAATGCAGTAGTTCACTGATTTTAAAATGTATGATTTTTTACAACTTTAAAATTGGGATGCATCTTATAATCAGGGTTGTCATGCTTTAATTATCAATGCGTTTTTTCTTTCCTTAATTGTATATTAAAATAAAGACGCATGTTTCAATCTGTGGTATCTTAGATTTGATGGAATTTGATATTGAATTCTTTGGATATAGTTTGTAAATTTTTCCTGTCTTATGTGTGTTTTCCATTATAAAAATTTAAGGAAAATGATTTTAAAATGAGTAGTAACCTTTCACAAAATAATTTTTCTACCATTTTTGATTTCTGGGAAATGATGGTGATAATTTGTATTTGAATTAATTGTGATGCTTTCAGTTATATGTAATTTTTTTTTTTTTAGCATCTGGGTTCTTTGAAAGTTCCTGGGAAGCAGCTGTCTGCACTGTCCTGGGAAGGAGGTGGACTGAAAATTGCTCTAGCTGTTGATTCCTTTATATATTTTGCAAATATTCGACCTGATTATAAGGTAAATATTAAGAGCAGGTGTAAAATAAAAAAAGTGTTTTTTAATAAACAATTTTGTTGTAACTGGAAGTATACTCAGCTGTTTTGTTTTAGAAACTGGCAGAAAGGAGGCCTTTTGTGTGAAAACCTTAGAAATAGTGAACTTTCTAGAAAACTCTATGCTCATATAGTTAGCAAAATTACTCAATGACTCAAGGTCTCAGCAGGAAACAGATGGCACACTCAAAGGAGTAATTGGAGAGAGATTGAAGAAAAACTTACTACAGAGATCTGGGCAGGGTTAAGGGGAACAGCAAGGGATAATAAAGCAAGGACCCAGGGATTAGCAACAATGAGATGCCATCACCAGCCCTGGGCCTGAGGGGGTAAGGTGAGGAAGTAATGTTCCTGGAACCCGTGAGAGCTGTGGCTGTGCAAGAGAGGCTGTCCTGCAGGAGCGAGCCACTGCCAACTGGCTGGGCAGAGAGGTTTGGGGAATAAATACTCCACCTCATCTTTCCACCTGCTGGTACCTTCTACTGGCCAAACCCAACCGGAAACCAGAAGGCAAGGTAACCCAGGTGATGGAATTCATAGAACATGATGACTATATATAATGTATCCCAGATAGGATTCTGGAATAGAAAGGGACATTAGGGAAAAGCTAATGAAATCCAGATAAAGTATGGAGTTTAGTTAATAGTAACAGAAATTTATTAATAGTAATGTTGGTTTCTTAGTTGTAACAAATGTACCATTGTAATATAAGATATTACCAATAGGGGAAAATGGATGAGGGGTATAGGGGAGCTATGTACTATCTTTGCAACTTTTCTGTAAATGTAAAATTATTTTAAAATGAAAAGTTTATTTTAGAAGGTAATCATGGCATAAAAAGCTAAACATAGCTTAGGTTTGAATAGTAAACACAATTATAATAATGTCAACACTGAATATTGATATATTCATAATTACATATAAATGTATCGGGAGAGTTAGGCAGAAGGGAAAGCTGTAATGTGTAAATTCCTTGATCAATAGATAATGTGATACAGATATAACTATCAGAACAGTTGCAGCTAAAAGAGTTGTATGTGGCTATTTCTGAGAGGAAATTGGGCAAGCGGTCTGCATTTTGATTTTATTTTAAATAAGCCATGAAGAATTGTTTGACTATAAACTATGTGCATATGTTACTCTGATAAAAACAAATATAAAAAAATGTGGATGGGGGAAAAAATGGCAAAGCATCTATTTTCGAATTTTGGCTTGGGAACCCAGAATTTTAAACTTTTGGCAGGGATCACTGTATCTATTGTCCCTCCCAGCAAATATTATTGATTATTGAAAATTTTTACCACCGAAGCGTACATCTTACAAATTAAATTAAAATAAGAAAGTTAAACATACTGAATTTAGTTTTGCAGTACACTCTTTGTTTTATAAATGTCTTTATTACTTATAGATTTTTTGGTTATTTAAGTGAGAAGTGGTATTAAGCTGAAAGTTCAGTCCTGTCTTCCATTTCTGAAGACCGTATTTTGTCAGCACATATCTGCAATATGTCTAGAGTAAAAATAAAATAATTGTGACTTATTTCCCAGTGCTAAATATTCTTCTCCCTTTTCTCGCCTTCCCTCCCTTCTTTCCTCCTTCCATTCCTTTTCTTCTTAGTGGGGTTATTGCTTAAATACTGTAGTTTATGCATATACCAGACCTAATCGTCCAGAGTACTGTGTTGTCTTTTGGGATACAAAAAACAATGAGAAATATGTTAAATATGTGAAGAGTCTCATTTCCATTACTACCTATGGTGATTTCTGCATTTTGGCTACGAAAGCTGATGAAGATCATCCTCAGGTAGGTATTCCTTGATATCTTTTTTTTTTTTTTTCTTTTTGTCTTTTTTACTGACCGGTAACGGGATCGCAACCATCGGTGTCGCGCCCGCACCGGGGACCGGCAATGGGATTGCAACCCTCGGTGTTGCGCCCGCACCACGCTCAATCAGTGAGCGGGAACCGGTCTCCACATGGGATCCGAACCCTCGGCGGGAGTGCCACCACGCTCCCAGGCGGCACACTCTCCAGTGCGCCACTGGGCCGGCCCTCCTTGATATCTTAAAACACAGATGGGTTAACTACTTGGTGGAATTGGGCTGTAGTTATCTGCCTTCACAAATATGGCCTCTATATTAGCAAGTACAGCAAAACATTGGGTCTATCGCCATGTCTGTCTAGATTTGTTTTGGAAAACTAAGTGACTCCATTAGTCCTCTGTCCCTTGATGTTTTTTCCTCCAATTAGCAATAGCATTTCATATCGACTGGTTCAGTTCTGAAGCTTTTTTGTCTCTGAAATATATTTAAAATACCACAGTTCTTTTGTAAATTGAAATTCTGTAAGCAAAAATGAATATCAGATCCCTGGTATATTGCTGAAGAAATTATATAATAACAGTTTATAACAGTTTGGGTAGCTTTTGACATTGAACTATATACTTTTATTTGGAATTATATTGCTTTAAAAATCAGTGTCTCAAAGCATAAAATAAATAATATGAATGTCTTTTTAAAAAGTATACTAACAATTTAAATATTTGCAGAAGTATGCAAATATTTTTAAAAAGGACTACCAATGTCATTTTGCCATAAATTATTTTTCCCCTTCAAAAGTATAGAGTTTTGGGGCTGGTTGGTTAGTTGAGCTGGTTAGAGCACGCTGTTATAATACCAAGGTCAAGGGTTCCAATCTCCCCCCCCCCCCAAAAAAAAAAGTATGGAGTTTTTGTTCAAGGTGACCATTTGAACAACCACATTTGACTTTGCTCTTTCCTGAAACTCACTAACCAACAGTAAAGTATTTTTTAAAAAGTTGTAAGCCCATAGGGACCAGAAAGGGAGAGGAAATGGCAACAAAACTTTGGAGGTTAGGGAGCAGGTGGATTAGTTGTAATTACCTTAGCAGATCTAAGAAAGCTGAATCATAAGCCATTCATGGAGAAAGCAAAGAGGCAACCAGTTTACATCATAGAATCCTGAAGAGGCACAGGAATTGGGGGTAACTGATGGGAGAAAGAAACAAACATAAAAGTAATTTGGAAGTATGAGATTGTGCAGGAAGGAAAAAACTTGAAAAAGAGGCATATAAAGAAGCAGATTTCCAGATCTCCTCCCCTGTACTGACCCATAGGTAGATGCCTTCTACTACCTAGTGAGACTGGGGTTTACTCTCTGGAGAGAATCAAAAAGAACTTCTGCACTGAAGGGCATCAAGCATAGCTGAGGGTGGAGGAATTCTGCTGGAAACAGGACAATTAATTAAACATTTACCACTCAGTGTTACCCCCAGTCTTCTTTTCCCTCTTGGTGTCCAGAACACTGGCAGCCAAGCCCTGAGTTTTGAAGGCAGGAGATTGTCCGTCTTTGGAGAATCTGACCAGTTCAAGAGAAAAGACCTGTAAAGATACTGAGCGTAGGAGTCCCCAGGAGAGCAGCCCTGGCCGATTCCCTTATAGTAAAAATCAGTCTGTGAGGCTCATTCATAGACAAAGAGGTTCCAAACAGCTTTGTAGTGTTTCACTCTTAAATATAAGCAGATAGACAAGGATTATCAGACATTTGAGGGAAGTACCTAATTTAACTTGAGGGAAGTAGAAACTATGCAGAAAAAACACTTCAAAAAACCCCATCATTTCAAAAGAGCCATCATTGTTATCTTCAGAAAGTTAAGTTATTTACATCCCTAAAATAAGAAAAGGATACTATCGAAAAGGAAGTTTTTGGAATGACAAATATGATAACCACAATGAAAAATCTGGCAGAAGGTTTACAAGGTAAAACGAAGGAAAACACCTATAAAGTTGAGCAAAAAGTCAAGGAAATGGAAAGTAGGAGCTAAAAGGTAGGAAAATTAGAGGACCAGTCTTGGAAGTTTAGCATGTTAGTAATATTTCTGAAAAGAACAAACAGGCAAAATTGGGGTAAATCTGAAAAAAAAATCTAAGAAAATTTCTCTTGAGGTTCTAGATTGTTGGTATGTAGCTCAGTGAATAAAAATATTTCCATGTCAAGGCACATCATTGTGAAGTTTCAGAACACTGGAGAGAAAAAGAGAGATCCTACAAGTTTTCAGAGAGGAAAAACAGATTTCACAAGATCAGGAATTGCAATGGTATTTATGATTACTTTGGAGAATTGCCTTCAAAATTCTAAGGGAAAATAATTTTCCATCTAGAATTCCATATCTTAAGCAAACTATTGACTAAATGTGAGGATAGAATACAGACATTTTTGGATGTGCAGGGTCAAAAATTTACCTTCCAAACTTCCCTATGTTAGGAAGTTACTTCAGGATATATAGTTCACAAAAATGGGGAATAAACTAAGACAAGGAAGATGCCGGAGCACCAACCCCAGTGATGAAGTGGTACCAGACAGTTGTGCTCCAAAAGAAACTGGAGGATGAAATTTAAGAGAATAGCTAGTATGTCTGAATCCTTGAGAGGACATATACGTAACGGGGACCATTGGGGATTTGAATTGGTAATAAGTACATAGAAAACTAAGCAAAAAGAAAAAATAAAGATAATTACCAACTACAGGGAGAGTAAAATATGCTTGAAAGGAAAATGAATTACACGTGATGGCTCAACTGTGAGTAGCATTTACATAGTCAAAATGATGTAATCGCTATTCTTTAAATTAAAAAAGCTTTTAATTGGCATGTAGTAAACATTCAACCCAAAATTCAGATCTAACCAAATTAGGTTAAAGTGGAAGGATGGAGGGATGGAAGTGTGCTCCTGTGTGGTGGAGGCTGGGGTGGGGAAAGGGGATGAAAGAAAGCTAAATGATTATTTTTGTAGTGGGAAGGCAATCGATAATGCGCTAAATTGAAACAAAACAGAGAAGTAGCACTATAAACATATTACTTAGATTTGTGGAGGTAGATAGCAAAAGGGTGAGTTAAAGGGAGCAGGAAATGGGGAATTAAGGATACTACCATTTTCAGTAAGAAGTCTTGTGGGGCTATTTGATTCTTGCAACTATGAGCATGTATAACCGATAAAAATGAAAAGTAAATAAAAAAACAGTTTATTTGTGGTACTTAGTGGCAGAAAATAACCTTATTTTAAGTAGTGGAAGAGTAAATTATGTTTTTAGTATAATTTTTATCATTTAGTTTACATTATGAAATTAAACAAATTTTAATTGAGATGCTGAAAAAAGAAAAAGTCTGTGTAAGTAGCACATAGAGAATTGGTTTATTTGAAATTGTTATTCTAGTCAGGAAAACGTAAGTAGAATAGTATTCTTAGTATAAGATACAGAAAAGGTGACTAATACTAAAAAAAATTACCATTTTAGAACAATATGATATAAATTGTTCATCATGCTTGATTATTTTCCTACTATTAGTCATAATTATTTATATATGTCATTTTCACTGGATTGGATTATGTATTTTCTGAATTAACTGAATATTTCTGAATTTCTCATGTCATTTATATATTGCTTCAAAGGAGGAGAACGAGATGGAGACATTTGGTGCAACGGTAACAAATTGTTAGCTCTTATATAGTTGGTTATAGGCTAAAAATGAGTTTTGAGATTGTAACCAATTTTAGAAGTATAAGTAATAAAAATTATTTAGAAGTATAAATAATAAAAAGTAGCCAGTATATTTGTATTTCTTAAGTATCCTCTTAAAAACCATTGTATTCCATTATATTGAGAAATCATCCTTGTTTTAATTTTAATTCATGTTTCTTTATTTTTAATGCTGTACATTATCTTTCTGTCTGCTGTTCTTTGCACATCTAAGGATTTTATCAATTATTTCCCAGTTCATGATAATTGAAAAAGAAACAAACATGATCTATGTTAAGCGTATTTCCTTTAGTATTCACAAGGAGGAGTTCTGATACTTTTGTTATATTTGTTCACAGTTCGTGCTGGTTCTTTGTAATTCTATTGGCACACCCTTGGATCCCAAATACATTGATATTGGTAAGGAATGTTAATATTAATTCCCTTTCCAATCAGGTTTTATTTGTAATACTAATTTAAAAACCTGACAATGGTGTTATTAATAAGAATGGTATTCTCTAAAATGAGGATGATCTTACTAATGGTTTGTCAGTTTCGGTACCAGTTTACACCAGTTGTCATGGTAGAATTATTAACGCATTTTACTCTCAAAAGCATCCTAGTGAAGACAATGAATTGCAATAAATTATAAATCTAAAATCCACAATAATTTCACGACTGTTTATTGCCATCATTTGCCTTAAATGGGAAATACAACTGTACAGGAATTGGTATGCAGTGTAATGTTTAGTATGTAATAAACTGAGGATTATAGAAAGAATTCTTCTATTAAACCACTTTTATTAATAATAAACTGCTTGTAAATACCTCTCTTCCATAAAAACACTTTAGATGCTTATAAAAGTGAGTTTGCTCTTTCCAGAATTTTCTAATGAAATCAGTCTATTAATAGGTATAGCTTTAAAAAATTCTTGGTTCTTTATTTTCCGAGGACATATATTACTTTAGATTTACCATTCCCTCTATCCAGTAGCTGTGAAAGTAACCCATAAAAAAGTTCCAAATCTTATCCTAAGCAGTTTGTTAAAAATCATTAACAAATATTTTGCTGCTATTTCATTATGATTTCCAAAAGTAATGGCTTTCTTTTAAAATGTATTGTATTTTATGGGATATAATTTTACAAAAATTATTAGATCTAAAAAATTGAAAATCCACTGAATTATTTTCTGATCCTGACAACTAGTCATTTTTTTCAGATTGGACATTCAGTCTTAACAATCAAATGTTAATGTCTTCCTTCTAAGTGTTTGCATTTTGCTAAGCTCTTTGGATGATACAAGTAAATGTGAGAAATATTGGCCTTGAAGACTTTATAGTCTATGTTTAGGGGCTTGGTAACTCACTATTTGATATACTGATACATTTATCAATATGCCAATATATATTATATATCGATACGTTTCAGCTTTATGTCATATTCGTTATTACATAGGTATGTTTATATATTTATGTATGGATATATTTACATACATATATACATATGTTAGTGTTCCTTCTAAAAAGGCTTAACTTAAAATTGTTACAGAAGCATGTTAGATTAATACTATTTATTTATTAGAAGTACAGCAGTCTTTAATGTAAGTAAATTCTATCAATCTTCAGATTATATGGTTTTTCTTTTAACATCAAAAGTTTTAACATAGAATCATAATGATGATAGGGTTAGCCTCAAAGTAATTTTTATTACAGGTAGACTATTTTTGTTTGTTTGTTTGTTTGTTTTTTAAAGATGACCAATAAGGGGATCTTAACCCTTGACTTGGTATTGTCAGCACCACGCTCTCCCAAGTGAGCTAACTGGCCATTCCTATATAGGGATCCGAACCCGTGGCCTTGGTGGTATCAGCACCACATTCTCCCAAGTAAGCCATGGGCTGACCCCTTATAGGTAGGCTATTTTAAAAATAAATCTAAATGTAAATCCTTCCCCTTCATAAAATAGCAAATACTTGAGGACATGATTATTTATAGTTTTGAGTCTCAGAGCTTTTTTTTTCCTGCAGTTTTCCTGGCTGAAATTTCAACAAACAGTTCTTTCACTGGTCTGCAGCAAACACAGCCAAAGATGCAACATTTTTGTTTTATATATATCCTGTAAAATTCCTTTTCTAAGCTTCTATGCCCAATTTTCATGAGGACTGGAGGTGAAAACAAAAAAATATGTGACTGATACTGTTCTAGAACTTACTATTTTTGTTTTACCACCTACTTTTCCTCCTGATAGCCTCTGTAGAAACTCCCTAAAAGAACATCATGCATAATTATAGAAGTGTAGTCCATGGGACTCTGTTGCACTCTCCATGCAGGAGTTAGATACCCCTTTTCGGTGCTCTTCTGTTGAGCTTTCACAGTATCTTTGGTAGACTGTGACTGTTGATTTTCCTGTCTTCCCCACTAGACCTTGAAATTCTTAAAGATCTATGTCTAATTAATTTCTGTAGCCCCACTAACTCACACATTGCTTGGCCCATAATAAATGTTTTTTGAACGCATGGAAAATATTTATTTTTTATCATGTAAATAGAAAGTGTTAATTCATTTATTTAGCAAATCATCCCTAAGTACATGTATAGTTTTAGGTACTGTCCTGGTCACTGGGAGTAATAAGAAATTATTCTGGTAGGATGTCTAAGCAGATAATTAAAATGTAGTTAATTCATTGAACAATGACTTACTGCTCCCCTGCTGTGTGCTAGGTATTGTGCTAGGTGCTGGATAAATGGATATTGATACATAAGGACATCAGGGGCATCTTTTCTGCTTAGAGAAGGTTTCATTTGAGCTGAATTTTGAAGGATAAGTGTTTCTTCAGGTGGTATTTTAAGGAGAGAAAACAGCATTTACAGAGGAATGGAGGCACGAAAAGTGGCTAGAAAGCATGAGGTTGCCTGTGCTGCGGTCATTTTGGCTGAGCACACAGGCAGCTTTCTAATGATGGTCTATAACACATGCACTAAGTTTTCCGTATATTCCAGAGGAAGTTAATTTGATGAAAACATTTCAGTGCCATTCTGGTTTACCACTCTTTAAAAAGCTGAGAAAATGAGTAAGTAGGAAAGTGGGGCAACATTACAGATATAGTTATTTATTTAAGGCTTCAGCATTAAAATATTACAAGCAGGCTTTACTTATATGTGAATTCCTAGATTGTTTTAAATTATTTTACATCCTTGCTTGGCTAGTAACTACTACCTATTAGTGTTACAAAGTTCAATTAACGGAGGCATAATTATTTTCTTTAAAATTTTTCCTATAATCTTTCTAGATATTTCAAAAATTTTTTCCATATATTGAATAGTTGAGAAGGGCATGAAGTGCTTTTATTTTGGTTGTGTTCTTTTCCTAAAACATTGTATCTGTTATAACTTGGTCTTTTCCCTAGAAGCTTCATCTGGTTGGGATGGATCTTTTAATATAGATCTAGCAAAATTTATATAGATAGGAATATCTACCTGTATGAATTTGCTTAAATTACTGCTGTATTGATTCAAAAGAACATGTTTCAGATATATTTGTATTTGTTTTTTGCATTGATTGGAAAGTTTGTATATGGTTTTATTATAAAAACCTATGTAGATAATAAAAGTAAAAACAGCAATAGCAACATGCCTAATACTTCTAATCCTTAATGAGGGTCATTATGCTATAGTGGTTAAGAGTACAGATTCTGGGTTTGAGTTCAGTTTTTCCACTTTCTAGCTGTGTGATATGGGCAAATTATAACTTTCATGTATCAAGTTTTTCATGTGCTAAATGGGGATAATAATGCCTACCTTATATAGGGCAGTTGTAAATTAATATTTGTAATGTCCTTAGAAGAGTGCATGACATATATTTTTAAAAGTTCAATAAATATTGACTTTTAAAATTATTATTAAACATTTATTCTATGCTAGTCACTGTGCTAAATGTTTATTTAAAAATTTAAAATTTTAATATTTTATTTAAGTATTTATCTATATATTTATAAATGCTTTGTATTTATTATCTCTTTTAAAATCTAAAAACAGCTTGATAGGATTGGCATTATTATTTTAAATTTACAGTAAGTAAACTGAACTTCAGAGAGAATGTTAGCAAGTGCCTGCAATTTGAATTCTAGAAGTCTGACTCTCCACTTTTTAGTGGTTACCTTAAACCACTAACATTTTAATTTTGAATAAATCAGACTGAGGATAAAATCCTTGTATTTATCAAAAAGAAAGGAACATGAGTGTAATTTGTAATTGTAGGTAAATATTGGTTGTAAAAATGCTTTTATATGCTTTAGGAAAATTTATATACTTTATTAGAAAGAAGTTAAGGTTTGGGAACTTACTTCAAATCACAGGTAGTTACCAGCATCAGAGTATCCATGGTGGTATTTACTAAATATTTAGCAAATAACTTAGGATTTAGTGAAAATTGGGTCAGGGCAAGAAGAGCAGAGCCTGGACCTTTCCATTTTCCTTGCCTGGCACTCAGCAAATTGTTCCTCCCAAGAAAGGCTTCAGGCTCCCTCTAGAGGTTGGTAATAGTGCACATTTTGATACACATTGGATACAGTGATGACTGAAGTGCTTTGCAGCACAAATTTTCTGTAATTCTGTGTAACTAAAACTTAATTGTCTTAATGTTCTTTTTCATAGTACCGTTATTTGTTGCAATGACCAAAACCCATGTGATAGCAGCTTCAAAAGAAGCATTTTATACCTGGCAATATCGTGTGGCAAAGAAGCTCACAGCATTGGAAATTAATCAGGTCACGCGATCTCGAAAAGAAGGGAGAGAAAGGTATATTTTTTGATGCAGATTTTTTAGTAGCTCAACAATATCACATTTAAATAAGAATTGGGTAATTATAAATTATCATGTTCGAGGAGTATAAACTGCCTTGATTAGTAGAAATACTCATATTTTTTCATTAATTTGAATATCTTTCATATATATCTTTTTAAATTTATCAAATAAAAGAGAGGTACTATAGGTACCATTTCTTTCATAGTAATATAAAAAGCTCTTAGAGATAAAGGCTGAAAATCTGTGTTTTTATATGGAAGTGGCTGTCCTCACCATATCAATTACCAGAGGAGAGGCAGGTCCTTAGACACAGATATGGAAGAGGTCTTTAAGTGGGGTGAACTGGGGACTTGGCTTCTTTCTTTTGCTTTGGATTCCAGGAGTCTTGAGGTGGAATTACTTCAGGTAAGTGGGGGTAAAGAAGACTCTAAGAGGTTAGCAGCCAGGATGGAGGGATTCTCTATAGAAAGTCTTAAGGTGAAGATGCATTTACTGTGTTTTGTAAATTATATTGTCTCTGTTGGTGATACTCTGTGTTCATTGCCCTTTTGTTGTTACCCTAAGACTTTAAGTAAAGCATTTTGCTTAATGAGGGCATGGGCCTATGTAGGTAGGAGTGGGTGGTGGGAGTCATGTCACAAACCCCAGGTTGCTTTTTTGAATCATCTCTCCTCCCACATGTGTGAGATCTTACTGCAGACTTCCTTTCCATTCCCTTTAAGATGCACTTATGTTAAAATAGGAGATATGTCCCCAGTGAAAGTATTTTGGGTATGTGAATTCATGTGGAAGCAGTAAAAAGCAATTGAAAAACATTCTATCTTGTCTTCTCAGTGGTGCTGGAAGACTGAGTGGAAAGACTCTTTGGCCTCTTTGAGGACAGCATGTGGTAGTTCCCATGCTGATAGGACTTGTTGTAATGATAGTGAGCAGAGGCTTGCAGCCTTTGGGGCGAGAGTGGATCTTAGGACAAAGCTGGGGCAAAAAGTCCAGCTTCTTTATGGCGTGAGTGTCCTCCTCTAGTCAGCTAAAGCAGTTCTGGCTTTTGTTTAAATCAAGAAGGCGGCATTTCCTTATATTTCTGAGATCTGCTTACCAGTTTTAATGACTTTGGGCAAGTTCTCCTTGGACCTCAGTTTCTTCATCTGTAAAAATTGTTAATGATGGTGATAACAGCCAACGTTTGAGTACTTCTTATGTGTCAGACATTTTGATAAGTCTGGTCAGCACCCTGATTCCTGTTTTGCAGAGGGGAAACAGACATGTGAGTGTAAATTATTTGCCAAAGGTCACCAGCTGATAAGTAGAGACGGGACATAAAGCCAGGTTTATCTGACCCTGAGCCACTTTATACTCAAACTGGCCTTTCTTATGGCACATTTCCTGTTTTAAGAGAAGGAGCTGGGCCAAATGATCTCTTGAGGGACCTCCTCTTCTCACATCTTTGACTTGTATTTTATGATAACTCAGTAGGACTGGATATACTTAATAGAAATGTATTAAAATGCCTAAATATGTAGTTCCTCTAAATTAGTACATGTTTCTGAATTTTAATGCATTTCTATTAAATTTATTTAAAATTTGATCTCATTATATTGATGAAAGTACAATTATGATTTCAAAGTAACAATTATAAAATTTTATGGTATTTAAAAAATAGGAAATGGCATTATTTTCCTAAGTTACAATTTCTTGAACCCCTTTTATGTGTCAGACTCTGTGCTTATGTACTTTACAGTTTCTTATTTATGCCTCTTAGAAATGCTGAAAAGGGGGAATTGTTACCCTTATTTTACAGATGGAGAAGTTGAGGCTCAGAGAAGTAATTTGCCCAAAGCCTAAGAGCAACTCTGTGGTCTGTCTTCCATATTCACTTCCATCCATTTTAATGATTATTCGGCAGACATTATAGCTTGACAGTGTTTGGCCCTGTGCTGGGGACTGAAGCTGTATAGTCTTTGCCTCCAGGCAACTTACTTATCTCACCTAGTGGGAGAGATAAGTAAGCCAGCAGTGACACTGCGCTGTGAATAAATAGCATGATAAAGTTTCCAGAGAGATGGCGGTGTCCAAAAGGGGTGCATCTTCATAATATAGGAAGGAGAGAGAAAGCTTCTTTACTTCAGATCAAAAATTCCATTAATTAGAGCTTTCCAAATCCATTTAAGTTTTACTTTTATTAAACACATTGATAGATGGGAAGTTATGGAGAAACAACAGAGAAAGTTAATGTGTTATAAGTTACTCCTGGTTGATGTTCAACTGGAGAGTAAGGTAAAATGCTCTCAGGGTTTAATGAAATTCATTGGAAGGATGTGACTCAATGTTCAGATATATTTTTGGCACAACATATATGTTTTCAGCAACATATCACTTGCATAATTAGTAAACACATGGTAGGTAGTTTCTACCTTTATGAGATTTAGCTGTGTTAAGAACTCTTTAAAATAATAAGGGTTTTTGTATTAAATAACAATATTCATTGGTGTCATCTTATCCTTTAATTGTTCTAGAGATTATGAAATATTATAATCCTTACTTAAACTTTCTTTGGAATTCTGATCTTTTTTTTTACAGGATTTATCACGTTGACGATACTCCTTCTGGATCAGGGGATGGTATACTGGATTATGGTAAAGCCATCCAAGTAGGTGATTTTATTTTTTGCTAGCAAATGTTAATATCTGTAGATCTGGAGATATTGTAATTTTATTTTGAGGCCTGAAAAATAACTTGTTTTTAGTGAGTAGGATATTATTTTAGCAATCCTTTAAAATTTTTTCTATTCTGAGAAACTCTTTCTAGATCTTAAAAACTCAGTAAAAAACTAAAGTAAAGGTGACATGTGGTGATAAGTAGCTAATATGATAATGATACTACTTTAGAAAAGCATATTATCTGAAAATATTGGGAAGCATAATTCCTCCTCCTCTCCCTGTCCCTTCTCTCAGCATCCATCTAATTTCTCTTTATCTCTTGATCAGAGATTGGTCTGTCACCTCTGGCATATTAGTGAGTGTCCATATTTTTGTCAATAACATAGTTCACTGTACCTTTACGGAAGCATGCTTTTGTGTACAAGCTAATGTAATATAATATTTTACTAAACAGTTTTGTTGTGATTTTCTAAGAGTATTTAAAACAGTGCTAATTGTTTATAAAGCTCTTTCCTATCCAGTTTCTTATCTGATGCTCACAACTCTAAAAGATAAACAGCATGTAGTCTACACTGCATCTTATAGATTGGAAAACTGGTAGAAAAGTTCACCAATTTAATTATGTAGCAAAGCTAGGATTCAAACTTAGGCCTTTTAATAGATCTTGTGACCTATCCACGAGAATATACAGGAATTCGTCTCGTCATCTACATATCCATCCATTTATCCAGCAGGTATTGGTTGAAAGTCTATTATGTTCACACATTGGAGTAAATGCTGGGAATCTACTGGAGAATAAGAAACAGTCCCTTCCATTAGGGAACTTTTAGGAAATTTCAAATCGATTTATCATCAAATAGCTCTTTCCCCCCATCCTTATATAAAACATACTAAAATCTCTCCCATCTTAAAAACACCTACTAAAGTCTCCATTGCCAACTACATATCTTCTTCCAACCACTGCCGTATCTCTCTATTCATTCATAGCTAAGCTTCTTAAAGAAGGTAAGTATTCTGTGTTCATCTTCCTTTCCTTACCACACATTCCGTTTTCACCCTATTGCGTTCTGGTTTTCCAGAGACCTTTGAATTGCCAAGTCTGATGAGTATTTTTGTGTCTTTATATTATTTGATCTATACATTAATATTTTTGACCCCTCTTTTCTTCCTGCTTTCATGAAACCACATTCTTGGCTTTATATCTTGCTGACTTTTCCTTCTTATTCTTGTCAAAGGCTTATCTACCTATCTCTTGTTGTGGTGTTCCCTAATCTCTAGTCCTAGGCCATCTGTTTTTTTATTCACTTATTTGTGAAACACTCTTCTTTATATTCCTATTGAAACCCACCCCTTTATATGCTGAATACTCCAATATCTGTATTTCCAATGTTGAGTTTTTCCAATTTCTGGATAACGTATTTCTTTCTATCTGGATAGCAAGAAATTGGACAGCTCAAAAGTACCCCAAATTTAACCTGTCTGAGGCTGAGCTCTTCTCTCCAAATTCATTTCTCCATATATATTCTATAATATCAGTGACTGGCTCCACCATCTTTGCAAGACTCATGAGAACTCCTTTTCTCTTGATCTCATGTCTTATAAATCACCAAGTCCTGATGATTCTGTCACCTAAATTTCTCTCAAATTGGCCTTCCCCTTACCATCTCCATATCAATTCAGTCCATCATCATTTCCTACCTAGATCACTGCAGTAACTTTCCATCTAGAACTATCCAATAGAACATCCTGTGATAATGGAAATATTCTATGTCTTTGTTGTTCAGTGCACTAGCCACTAGCCATATGTGACTACTGAGCACTTAAAGTGTGGCTAGTTTGACTAAGGAACTGAATTAAATTTTATTTCATTTTAATTAATTTAAATTTAAATGGCGACATGTGGCTACAGGCCACCGTGTTGGGCAGCACGGAATAGTCTCTACTTTCCATCTTCTACATTCCCTCTATGCCGGTCCATGTATCATATTGCTGGCCATGCAGTCTTTCTAAAATGTAAAATATGGTCATGTTACACATAGTCCCTCCCCTCCCCAATTATAAACCTTCGATAAGTTCCCATATTTTTCAGAGTAAAGTATAGATACCGCAACCCCTACCTGGCCCACTTCTCTTCCCCAGCACATTCCTTAGATACCAGCTGTGTAAACAACTTGCAGTTTCCCGAATGTGCCATGCTGAGTTTTTTTTTCTTTTGATTTTTAAAAACATTTTATTTGGAAATAATCATAGGCTCACAGGAAGTTGCAAAAATAGTCCTTTCACTCAGCCTCCCTTAGTGGTGACATCTTGTAAAACTGTAGTATAATGTCAAAATCAGGAAGTTGACATTAGTACAATACTCTTCACTAGAACATGACCATATTCCTTATTCAGTTTTCAATAGTTTTTGCATGTACTTATATGCATGTGCATGCCTGTGTGTGTAATTTTATCACCATAAAGGAGCTCCTGTCTTGCTACTTATTCATTTTCTAACCTACTCCCCTGCCCCATCCCTGTCCCCCGGCAATCACTCATCTGTTCTCCATGTCTATAGTTTTGTCATTTTGAGAATGTTTCCTGAAATGGATATATATCATATATAACCTTTAAAGACTGGCTTTTTTTGGGCCGGCCTGTGGCTCACTTGGGAGAGTGTGGTGCTGATAATACCAAGGCCACGGGTTCGGATCCCATATAGGGATGGCCGGTTAGCTCACTGGGTGAGCGTGGTGCTGACAACACCAAGTCAAGGGTTAAGATCCCCTTACCGGTCATCTTTTAAGAAAAAAAAAAAAAAAGACTGGCTTTTTTCACTAAGCATAGTGCCCTTGAGGTTCACCCAGGTTGTTGCAGTGCCATGCTATTTTACCCTTCCTCATTTTGGCACATGCTTGTCCTTCTGCCATCTGTTCATCTTTTAGGACTGAGCTCAGGTTCTTGCCCATCTCATGTAAGTTAGGTGTTCTTTCCTCTGTGCTTTTATAACTGTACTTCCTCTTTGATCATACTGTACTGTAATTAAGTATTCAGGTCATTGTCTTCCCCAGTAGACTTTTAGTAATCTATACCTGAGAGTATAGATTTCATCTGATCTGAGTGTGTCTAGTGCGTAGTTCAGTGGCTCAGTAAGTAAATGTTTGTTAATAAATATATTATTGGCATAATTTTAGTGAATTGCATACTACCTTGTACCAGATTAGCCACTCAATAAATATTTATTAAATCATAATGATTGATTAATTTATTTTAGGGCACAAGGGATCCAATTTGTGCCATAACTGCATCTGATAAGACATTAATTGTGGTAAGTTGTGAAAAACTTATTTTATGAGTAGTAATTGTTTAAATTATAAAAGTAAGGTAAAGCATGAGTTTTGGATTTAATATCATCTTGTGGGCACCCTGAGTTTTACTAAGTCCAATATAAGAAATAAGAAAGTTTTCAAGGTTGCCTCACAAATAGCTATTTATATAAGCAGTAGAATAATGGCCAGCTGAGAAGATAAAGTACACTTAGAGTTTGTAATGCTGGGTTGAACGAGTCCTATAAAGTGTTGCTAGATGGGGGACAGATTGTATGGCTGTAGGTCTTAGAAAATTTCCTCCTCTATGTAGTCTAATATTTTATATTGAAGAAAGTGCTTTGGCTCAGCTACTTTTTATGAGATTTAGAATAAAGAGGTGTTGTATTTGCCAGCCAGTAAAATAGAAAAGCTCATGGCAAATTTCTACAGAATTTTTCAAATAGAATCAATGGTAGAGTGTCTTTTCTTGAGCTCTGGCATTTGAAAATATTAATTTTAGAAATAAATGTTTACTTTAATACAGTAATGCTGGTGGAGTTATTGCATTTGAATTATGTAAACAGAGCCTTAATAGTGTATATTTCCAGATCTAGTTACATTCTTTAGCCATTAGCTAATTTTATGGGGAAAAAAATCTTAAGAGCATAGTATTCTGTAGTATTTCCACCTTTCTGATAGGCCCCTCTTGAGAATCATGCTGCAGAAGCACTGCTGCTCTGGTTAAAAAGGGGAGAGGTTAAGATTGGCTGTGTGGAGCCTCCCACTTTATTCATTGCCATGGCCTGAGGCAATCGCACCTTTCTCCTGTCTGTTGTACTTTTTGTTGCTCTGTCAACTTGAGGTTTGCACAGAGTTGCACAGAAACTTATATTATGTTTTATTTTATAAACATAATTAAACTAATACTTCTGGCTTCACTGCTTTCAGATCATCTTTCCCCTTGCCAAAAACTAGTATTAGATAGATGGCTATAGGATAAAAACTTAGACTTTCAGTAACAGTTGTTTCATATTGTGATCGTCTATTGATTTTTCACATTTGGGAAATTTAATTCAACAAGTAGTTTATGTTTTAGCTTTTAATTAACCTAGACAATAACTATAAATAGCCTTAGATAGTTCTTCCTTGTGGTGTAAGAATTTGTGTATTACTAAAGAGCTAGGTTTTTGACTTCTTTCTTGAACAGTACATGAAAAAAATTAGACTACCTTCAGCCACTTTAAAAAGGTTTTAATTAAACTAGGGGATAATTGTGTGCTTAATGCCATAATTAAGTATCAGAATTGGAAATTTGCTATGACACTGTCACTTGGTTTTAAAACAAATGCGTGGACATTTAGAGAAACCTGTAGTTATAGTTTAAAAGTGTTAATGGTAAATACGCTTTAGTAATCAAAATAATTTCCATAGGGTCGTGAATCTGGCACCTTTCAGAGATACAGTCTTCCTAATGTTGGTTTGATTCAAAAATATTCCCTTAATTGTCGAGCCTGTCAGTTATCCTTGAACTGCAACTCTAGGTAAGCCTGAAAACTCTCCTCATGTAGATGTTAGACTTAGAAGTTATTAATTGGGGTTGTTGGATTTATGTAATAAATGTAAAGATAGGTGTGTTTATTATGAACTTGTCTTAAAAGACAGTGTGGTTTTACTATACTGTATTTGGTCTAAATGTCTTTCTCTAATTAGGCATGTAGAAATCTCAGTGCAATTGTTTACTCTTAAGCTTAAGTGTATTGAGACTATTTTACATTTTATACCAGTTGGTTTAATGTCTTTGGATACATTTTCCAAACAAGGAAGCTAAATGGAGAGTACTTGATATCTTCTATCAAATTTGTGAAAACAATTTAGAAAAGCCATTTCTACGATATTCTAGTTTCTGATAAACTGATTTTGAAGAAGAATGGTTGTAGGTATTTATACTCATGGTTGCCGATAGTAATTTTACAATTGTTCCCCTTCTCCAACTGCGTTATTTTTAGTCGTCTTGCCATCATAGACATCTCAGGAATTCTGACTTTCTTTGACTTGGAGGCTCGGGTCACAGACAGTACAGGACAGCAAGTAATTGGCGAGTTGTTAAAATTGGAGCGAAAAGATGTCTGGGATATGAAGTGGGCCAAGGATAACCCTGATTTGTTTGCAATGATGGAGAAGACAAGAATGTATGTTTTCAGAAATTTGGATCCAGAGGTAAAAACAACAAATGAGTGTTAACAGTCCATAAATAACGAGCCGAATATCAAAACCTGGGTATTTCCCCTTTGTTTCTTTAAGAGATTTGTTGCTGTTGGCTGCATGAATTTCTGAAAATAAACAGAAACATTTCTGTGAAATTTTTAAATATTTGGTCTTAAGTGGGAATAATACTTATCTCTTAAATATTCTCTACTTTCTCTAAAAGACACTTCATAGGCATTTATCTACTCTTTTTAGAAGATGGAACCATGGTCACCAGATAGTCTTTTTTTTCTTGCCAAAGTTAAAAAAAGAAAAAGAAAATCAGTAGTCCTTATCAAAATTTCTTAAAACATGGGCCGGCCCGGTGGCGCACTGCTATAGTGCGCCGCTTAGGAAGTGCGGCGGCGCTCCCGCCGAGGGTTCGGATCCCACATACAGACCGGTTCCCGCTCACTGGCTGAGCGAGGCGCAGGAGCAACACCAAGGGCTGCGATCCCGTTGCCGGTCCCCGGTCCGGTATGGGGGCAACACTGAGGGTTGCAATCCTTTGCCGGACATGGAAAAAAAAAAAAAAAAAAAAAAAAAAAAAAAAAAAAAAATTTCTTAAAACAACCTTAAAAAAAATGTAGCTTTGAATTTGCCTTGGCCTTTCCTCCCCCTCTGCCTGTCTGTTCACTTCATTCTCTGCTTACTGTGTCTTGTGTGCACTTACACTCGTCGTATCACCCATTGATCATGTTCTGTCTCAACACAGACATTCTTACAGTATGCAGATATGGACGATGGTCGACCTCCTCTCTCCTGGGTATCAGGGAGCCACTTTTCCACTCATTTTAAGGTCACATTTTGATTTTCTCCTTGTGGCTCACAACAGCTAAGTTTGACACTCTGTATTTTCCTGTCACTTAGTCTACCCTGGACCAATTATTAACTGTTGTGTTTAGGAAATACAAAATAATTACAGTGGTAGCCTCATCAAAACACCATTAAGAAAATAAATCTTTTAGACAATTTTTGAATTGGTAATGGATTTTCAATTTGGAGTTTTCTGTATTCGTGCTGTACTCCACTAGTATAAGTGATGAGATGAGTTAAATACTTTACGTCATTAATTTCTATTTGTTTGCACCCATACCTTCCTTCTTGGGAAGAAATTGCATACTTGGGCCCTTGAGCTGCCAAATATCTGTAGTAATTTATTTAGTGGTAAACTGTTTGTCCCTTTAATATCTTCTTTTTTTTTGAATTTCCCCGTTTGAGCCCTATTCAGGGTCTTTGGGTTGGCAAGTGAGCTAATGTAAATTGCTCTCAAAGGCTCTGGTAAAGCTTTTAGGAGTCTTATGATTTTCGTAGTTCTAAGTCCCTGAGAAATGGCTCAAAGGAAAGGTATTCAGGGCCGCTGCATCTGACCTTTAAGCATGGGCTTCTTTCAAGAGTCCAAGGGGAATTTGAACCTCGCAACAAAACAAGTGTGGAAATTTGACAGGTTACAACAGGATAACCTTGAGGATGAGAGTAGAATAGATTTTGAATGTCGTGGTCCTTTTTCTATCTTTGGCTCCACTCATACTAAGTCAGGAATCATATGCCTGGAGAAGTAGCGTTTGCTATATCTGGCTGCTAATAATGTGTGTGGAGCACACATGGTCAATCTAGTACCAAGTAAAATCTTTGCCTGGTGGAAAGTGATTCTTAAGTAGTTTTAACAGAACAGCCTTTAAAAAGTATATTAGTTTTTAAAATTTGAGCTTGTTTTCAGGCTTGGCATGTAGTTTAGTTTCTGTTAGATTTAGAGCTACGTTGATTTCTCACAACCTTACCACTGTCTGGATTTCTTTATAAACAATGATTCTGTTCTTTTCATTTGTGAGGACACTGGCTCGCTGTGGTCCCTGCTTGTTTAGTTACTGTGCTATTCATTCCTCTAGCTGCTTGTTGACCATGTAAGAAGTTACTCTTCAAAACAGTATTTACTGGATCTGCAGAACTAGAGAATAGTATGTTCCTTTAACATACTTGTTTGTTTGTTTAACAGTTGTTTGAAGTAAATCTTTCTTCAGATAATTTGTGAATAAAGGATGCGATGCCATCTGTGTGCAAAGTTTTAATTCACTGATACAGCACATTTTCTTTGAGAATTAGGAAATGAGTATTTAATGTTGATATTCCTTGCTTGATCATTTTCATCTCATGACCCTCTCAAGGTATTATAATATTACATATTATTAATATGAGCATATTATGAATCATGTCCCCAAAATAGAAATTTTGAAAGAATGAGAAAAAAATTAATTTTAAACTATGACATAAACTTTATTTTTATTTTTTTATTTTTTATTTATATTTTTTTGTCTTTTGTCTTTTTCCGTGTCCGGCAACGGATCGCAACCCTCAGTGTTGCCCCCGTACCGGACCGGGGACCGGCAACGGGATCGCAACCCTCGGTGTTGCTCCCGCGCCTCGCTCAGCCAGTGAGCGGGAACCGGTCTGCATGTGGGATCCAGACCCTCGGGCGGGAGCGCCGCCGCGCTTCCCAAGCGGCGCACTTATCCAGTGCGCCACCGGGCCGGCCCGTAAACTTTATTTTTAAATGTCATGGTAATTGTTATAGTTTATACTACCATTAGTATCTCAGTATACCGGACCGGGGACCGGCAACGGTATTGCAACCCTCGGTGCTGCTCCCGCGCCTCGCTCAGCCAGTGAGCGGGAACCGGTCTGCATGTGGGATCCAGACCCTCGGGCGGGAGCGCCGCCGCGCTTCCCAAGCGGCGCACTTATCCAGTGCGCCACCGGGCCGGCCCGTAAACTTTATTTTTAAATGTCATGGTAATTGTTATAGTTTATACTACCATTAGTATCTCAGTATAATGCACAATTTAGGGTGGATACAAGTCCCATGTTTCAAATAGTCTACTTGATAATTTTGACTTTTTAGCTGACTTTTTGTCAGACCTGATTAGTTTGTCATTGTTTCCATGTTGCAGTGTGGCTGACCTAAGAATTTGTGCTAGGACTGAGAGAGGCGTCTGTTCTGCCTTTTCTTGTTTGCTTGTGCTTGCATTACCAATATTACCTTTAATTTGCAAGTTCTTTGCAAGAGACTTTTTAAGCCACTTGTCCAATTTGTGAGGGTTAGCTAAAATTAGTTATTAAAATCCCTAAGTCCACTTAATTAGGTATGTACAAACCTTAGTATGTCACAATATGCTAAAATGGAATGGATAAGTAAGGGCACTTCAGGATACCTGTCATATTGTACATGTTATGAGGCCTTTTGACTTGTGTGCTGAATAAGGATGCTGGTGTTTCTTAGAGTAGTATAGATTTGTAAAGCTTTATTACTTTCTTGATAAAAAGAAATGTCTTACATATCTCTTAGGTGAGTGCATCCTTTTTGTAGATCACTGGTTTAAAACTTTATATTCAAATGAAGTGTGGATAGATAACTAGTGAATTTTGGAAAATAAAATTGGTTGAAGTAATTCAAACAGAAGCTGAATTTTTAAAAATCTGAGTTATGTAAATATTTTTGCATATTTACTATGTGCCAATAATCATAGATTATTTTGGAAATTCTTTGTTTTTGATCTGTCTCTCCACCTTTCTCTTTCTCCCTTTCTCTTTGATTTTGTATTATTTTTTATCCACAGGTCACCTTTTATGACTTTATCTTTTGATTGTCTTGCTTTACTATATTATCGCCAAAAATTAAAAAAATTTCTAATGATAAACATGTTTATACAGGTATATTTGATGTACATATAGTATCAAAATAATCAAAGTATATGAAAGTCTCCACTGCTGATTATAATTCTGAAAGACACAATCCAGAAAACCATAATCCCAACTATTAAAATCCCTAAAGATCAAAGTCCCTAGAGATCAAAATCTATAAAGTCTAAGATCTCTAACTTCTAAAATCAGAAAAATCACAATCCCAGAAGATTAAAATCTCAAATGTTGAAATCTTGAAAGCTGAATTCTGGGGAAGGAATTAGTGTGCATTTTCAGTTGTATGCAGGATAGTCGTTGCATCGTGTTAGTTGCATCATGTTAGGTGGAGCTATTACCTTTTTATTGTCTTTATTTGGAAATTAAGTATGGTTTAAGGAGATGCATATGGGTGCCAAATTGACAAGGGGTGGACTGTGGATTTAAATTTTGGTGTCTATTTGACTGGATTAAGTGATACCTAGAGCAGTGCTGCATAGAAATTGAATGTGAACATATTCTTTGAGGAGAGCCATGCCCTAAAAGAAAAAAAAGCAGCTATTAATTGTGATGTAAGACTTCAAAATATAGTTAATAATTGTGAAAGTTGGCCACCTCTTATGGACTACCTCCATGCAACTATCCATAATCTATCCCTATAAGACAATTTTTACGTGTGCCAAATTATTTTTATGGTTTCCTTTCCTTTTTTTTTCTTTTGTTAGTTTTTTCCACACTATTTAAAATTGTCAGCATTATTTTTTACAATTTGCTTTGCTGTACATTTTGTCTTAGCATCATTTCTAATACTGGAAGCATAAATTGTATAAAGATTTTTAGATAATTCTAATTTGTTTTATGCATTTTTTTGCAAATTTGACACCACTAAAGTGCATTATCACTTGACTTTGTGTGTAAGCATTATGAATGTACATAAAAACAAAACTCCCTTGATAAATGAAGACATATCCTTTTTGACATCTGCACTTGTGAAAGATAAAATTTTTGAGATCTGGGCTTTTGGGCTACTACTGCATATGCAGCGGTGACCCATCGTGATTTGTGATCAATCTTGTCAAAAGACTTAGGTAGTTCAGATGACCACAGTTATAAAGCTGGGTGCACTCAATTACTAACCATAGTGATATGCATATACACGTTTTGCCTTTTGACCTTTTTTTTTATGTATACAATTTGTCTGCTCATAACAGTTACACGTATATGACTGTCTTTAGTATACCTGAATATACTAACATATACCTAAGTGTTTATGCTTACAAAAATATGCATATTATTACCTATTTTATTGTGTAAAGTGGCTATGAAGTATTCTGTCATATTTTTGTGTTTTTCAAATAAACACCCTTAAAAAGTATAAATAAATGTCTTAAAGAATTTCTTTTATTATTTTTTCCAGAATTACATTTTTGGGATTTTAATCTTTTAGTATTGTGATTTTGGGGATTTTAGACTTTAGGAATTTTGATCTTTTAGGATTTCAGCATTTGAAACTGTGGTGTTTGGGTCATTTTTTTGGTATCTTTTATTATAATTTTTATAGATTCTATCATATGCGAGGGACTAACTTTCAGAGTTATAAATCTGATGTTTTATTTTATTTGGGTTTTGGTTACCTTCTACTTCATTATGATATACATATACATACATATTTTTAAAAATTGCATTCTGGCATTATTTCTATTACCAGGGAATTTTATCCTAATTCTTTTATAGTATTCTTGGAGGTATTAAGTATATTGGCAATTTATCTATTTTTGTTTATATAATATATATACCTATTTTTTTCTACTAAGGATTTAGGGCAGCTACTTTACATTATATGTGTGTTATGATATGCATATTCTATGCTTTATTTCTACAAGCCTGCATAACACAAGGATAAGAGACAGACATATAACAGACTCATGTATTTACATACTGGCAAGTAAAATCTTATGTAGGAAATATGTTAGGAATACTCTCTGCCTCATGTTACAGAGGATAGACTTCAGTATGGTATGGGATTTTTTTCTGATAGATGTATGTATTAGTCCATTTTGAGAGAGAGAGAGATAGAGAGAGAGAGACAGAGAGAGAGAGATATGCCAGGGTCCTTTAAACAATCCGGCCTCCCGGGAACTAATAGAGCAAGAACTCACTACCCCTCCTCCCCCAGGGAGAGCATTAATCCATTCATGAAGGATCCATCCCCATGACTCAATCAGTTTCCAACACTGCCACATTGGAGAACAAATTTCCACATGAGTTTTGGAGGGGACAACACATCCAAACTCCATCAATGTACTTAGATACAGATATGGTGTTTATTAATTTTACAAGGAATTAAATTTAATATTAAATTGCATGAATTAGAATTATGAAGCTATATAAGACATTTTTATATTAATTGGGACAATTTGGACTGAATATTAAATGCTATTAGGTAAATAATACTGTTATTAATTATTTATATTATAAGGTGCTTATTAACTAATTATAATGTGGGATAGTAATGTGACCATGTAAAAGAACATTCTTATCTTCTAGAGACATGTATTGAAGTATTTAGGGGTGAAATGTCATGAGATCTATACTTTACTTACTTTGCAATACTTCAGCCAAAAAATTAAATGGAGCATATTTAGCAAAATGTTAATAATTAATTAGGTGATAGGTATGTGGGTATCAATGATATTCTCTCTATTTTTATGTTTGTTTGAAAATTTTGATAATAAAATTTAAAATTGTGATTTGTTAAGGGGGGGCAAATTTACGTAATGAAACATAACATTTGTTTTTGTCTTTAAAGGAACCCATTCAGACCTCTGGATATATTTGTAACTTTGAGGACTTAGAAATTAAATCTGTTCTTTTGGATGAGATATTAAAGGTAATTCATAAAAAGCAGTTATATTTCTGTTGCTGCCTTGATTGGGATTCTTTTTTGGAGGTGGTGTAGTGTCCAGTTAGGAGTGTGTACCCAGGAGTCATGTACATCTCTGGTCCAACCCTCCTCTGCTACTTGTGCAACCTTTAGGCAGGTGCTGCTATCTTTCTGAGTTTCACTTTCCTTTCCTGTAAAATGATGACAAAAATGTAGGAGCCTTAGTTTTTACCTGTATAAAATGAGGGTAATTATAGTACCTATTTCATAGGATTGTTATTATGTAAAATAAAGTGTGAAAAGCACTTAGCACAGTGCTAGGGACAAGTAAGAGCTCAAAAACTGGTCGCTAATTGTTTCTGTAGGAATAACAAAGGTACTCTAGGGTATTATGAGTAATTTTTTGTTTAGAGGTCTACTGTCCTCTTATTTTTTCCAGGTTTTATAAAATAAGCTTTTTCTGATTCCAGGTATCTTTTTACACCACTACATTGACCTTTATTGACCATCCTTTGAGAATTTTTTTCTCTAAGAATATATTGAGAGCAGATTTACCTTCATTTTCTCCAAAGCATTTACTATTCTATGTACTATATATATTTTTTGGAATTGGAATAGTAAATTCTAAATGTCTAGAAGTTAGTCACAACTTGGGGCATGTTTGTGTATTTTGGTTTGATATGTAAATTGCTACCCTTTTTTTGTGAACCAGTTTCGTTTTTCTATATCGTAACCACCCTGCAGCACCAGGGTGGACCTCTACCCAGAATTTAGTTTGGATGTCATGATTGATGATACCATAGACACGCTGAGAGGGTATAAAACATTTTACCACTTACATAGCGAGGCTTTGGGGGAAGAGAAAGGGAGACTTCCCAAGCTGATCTGAAAATGGCTTGTGAGAACCAATTTCTCACAGGGAAAGGAGATTGGCTAGAGTTTTTTTTTTTTTTATAGTAAGGAGCTGGGTCTGGGGTGAGGGTTCCTGTGGGTGAGGTCTTATGTGGTTTGAAACTCATGCTGGCTCCAAAGGAGGGAGCACTTGGGTTTTCTTATCAGCTTGACCCACGTGAGGCAGAATCGGAGGCAGGAGTGAGGCATAAAAGCTGTTCAGTGAAACATCAAAAATGGAATCTGAATCTTTATTACAATTTAGGATTATTTAATCTCCAAAGGTGACTATTCGACTATTCTCTATGTGGATAGCTCTTCCTGTAAAGAGTAAAGAAAAAGATCTTGTCTTTGTTTAAGGTGTATGACTTGTACAGCTAATGAACTTGTTTTATTGCCTGTTTAACCTGAATACAGTAATGGCAGAGAATAGTGTATCGATTTCCCCCTTTTCCTCACATGTGAAGGAAGATATGTCTTTTTTTTTTTTTAAAAGATGACTGGTAAGGGGATCTTAACCCTTGACTTGGTGTTGTCAGCACCACGCTCAGCCAGTGAGCGAACCGGCCATCCCTATGTGGGATCCGAACCCGGGGCCTTGGTGTTATCAGCACCGCACTCTCCCGAGTGAGCCACGGGCCGGCCCCAAGATATGTCTTTTTGCTTGTTCTCTTTCCCTAAAGACTTAGGCTTGGGAACTCCTTAGAAGATATGGTTTTGCCAATTAAAAACAACAACAACCAAGTCATAGGTGGGGTAGAATCAAACTAAGCTGGCTTGACTATCTTCTCTGATTTTATGTATTAATGGTTTGATAGAGAATGAGCTTCTTGAATCCCCAGCATCTAGCAAGGGTCTGGATATATAGTTGGTTCTCAGAAGGCGTTTGTTTAATTGATTTTTAAAAAATGAGTAGTAACTTTATTGCTTTTCAAAAAGTGGCAAATATTCATTATATACAATTCAAGCAATACACAAAGGTGCTGAAAATAAAGTAAAAACAAAACAAACATCCTAAATCTCATCATTGAGATATTTTAATCATTAACATTGGATAAACAGCAGAACATCATTCCATGCAGCTATAAGCTGTATGTGGAAATATAGATTAGGTAGATGAACAGAAGTAATTTTATAAAATGGCATCATTGTACAATCTCCTTTCTTAGTGTTATGCAATTTTAATTAAATAACTTGAAAGTGAATTTAAAGGAATTCAAGACCTTTAGATAATTTTTTTTCATTGCAAACCAGAAAGGCTCATAGTTGCTTATTGTCTTAAGTCCTAGAATGCTTGAAAATGCCTGTGGTGTTGTTGCTCTGATGATTGTATTGATTTATGAAGTATTTTAGAAAAATATATGTTTAAATTGGTTAGGTGTACTTTGAGATTCTTCATACACTGGGCACATTTTATATGTATCTAATATTGGGGAGAGAGTATCTACAGTCCTATCACCCATTTTATTGGGAAGTGGTAGGGTGGAGTGGAGAGTTAAGCTGTACCTTGTGAGTTTTGGGTTTTTCCAGAAAACTCAAAAGACCCAAGTATGGGATTTTCTTCTCTTCCAAGTTTTGCTCACAATATAATGCAGGGTTATTTTTGTTTGTTTTTGTTTTTAATTGTAAAAGAAACACGTGCTCTAAAGTCAACTATTTGAATTCTCTTGTTTTTGTCTTTTCTTTTAGAACCCAGAACATCCAAACAAGGATTATATAATTAACTTTGAGATTCGGTCCCTGCGAGATAGTCGTGCATTGATTGAGAAGGTTGGAATTGAAGATGCATCTCAATTCATAGAGGACAATCCACACCCCCGACTTTGGTATTTAATTAAAAAACCCCAAGTCTCAGTTCTGTCATCGCCTGCTCCTGTCCTAACCTCCTGATGGGAACAGACTTCCATTCTTGCTCTTGCTTTCAAAATATAGAAATTTATTTTAGATTTGGAAGTCCTCAATGTAAGCATAATACTATATGAAAAATGTTTATATGTGTTAAAATAGTCATGTTCCACCATGTTTCACTAGTAACAATAGGTATAATAGTTGAATTCTGATTCAGGACTTGCTTATCAGTAATTTGCAATAGGCTTTTCTGTTTCCTGTTTTTAATAAAGGCGCCTACTGGCTGAAGCAGCTCTTCAGAAACTGGACTTACACACTGCAGAGCAAGCATTTGTGCGCTGCAAAGATTACCAAGGCATTAAGTTTGTGAAGCGCCTGGGCAACCTGCAGAGTGAGTCAATGAAGCAGGCTGAAGTTGTTGCCTACTTTGGCAGGTTTGAAGAGGCTGAAAGAATGTATCTTGATATGGACAGAAGGTAAGGTGTGAAGGTGCAGGTATTCTGAGTAGTTCTGGAGTTCAGGATTGCTTTATAAATGGGGACTATAAATAGACTAAATGTATTATACCATTTCCTTTTAAAATTTTTAAAAATTAATTTTTTTATTGAAACATAATTGATTATACATATTTGTGGGGTATAGAGTTGTACTATCACATAGTACAGTATGTGGTGATCAAATCAGGATAGTTGGCATATTTGTCATTACAAAATATACTCCTTCATTGTGTCCATTAACCGTTTTTTTTTGCTAACTCCCCTCTCCCAACCCCTTCCCCCCTCTAATAACCACAGTTCTGTTCTCTCCTTCTGAAAGTTCAACATATTATTGTTTGTTGTTTGTTTGTTTGTTTCTTTATTTTATTTATCTGTATTTTTTAGCTCCTACTTATGAATGAGGACATGCAGTATTTCTGTTTATTTACCTGCTTATTTTAATTGACGCTTAGTTGATGTGTACATAGCTGTGGGGTACAGAGTTTAATATCAATACCTGCATGCAATATGTGATGCTCAAATCAGAATGATTAGTATATTCAACATTATACAACGTAATCATTTTTCATGGCCCTTACCAATTCCTCCCTTACCCACTTTCCCACTTCTGGTAACCTCAGTTCTGTTCTCTCCTTTTGAAAGTTCAGCATTATCAATGTGGTTATTGTATCTTTCTTTCTTTTTATTTATGTGTTTATTTTTTTAGCTCCCACTTACAAGTGAGGACATGCAGTATTGGAGTCTCTCTCTCTCTTTAGGTCTAATAGTGTTGGCTTTATATATCTGGGTGTTCTGATGTTGGATGCATATATGTTTATGATTGTTATATCCTCTTTCTGTATAGATTCCTTTATCATTATATAATCTTCTTTGTCTCTTTTTGTGGTTTTCGGTTTAAAGTCTATTTTATCTGATATAAAAATGGCTACTCCTGCTCATTTTTTCTTTTTTTGGTTTGGATTACAACCTAGATATTCTATATGCCCCTCATTAATTTATGTTTTATAATTTGGGGCAGCTCTCTTCTCTGTTTTTATATCTATTAATGGCTGACTATGGGAAATTTCTTTCATTCGGTAGGAAAAAAATGACAGGATTTAAGAGACTGGGAGGTTTAATCATTTATTACACAGCTTATTATATGAATTCTCTGTTTTGGTTTAGGTCTGATTGGATTCTGTATTTTGGTTTAATTTTCTGTTGTCAAGAAAGATGAAAAGGTAGTTAGGGATTGAGTTTTATTACCTTTATGTTTATATTTCATTTTTATTTATATAAAATGGTGTATAAACTTTATTTCAGCTGTAAACATCATATCTAATTTTTTAAAAATGTTATTTATATTCCCAGGAGATCCCTAATATAACTCAGCCCTGAAAAAAAAAAAAAAACAAAACCAATAGTGTTTATGCTATATGTTTTGCTTTGAAATAAACCTGATCATGTATGAGAAATTGCTGAAAAGAGTTGGTTATTATTAAAACATTTTGCTAAGTAAATTAGAAGTCTAGAAAAATAAAAGCCAGGAAATTGTTTTCTTTTTTCTATTTTGGTGTCTTAGTCCATTTTTGCTGCTGTAATAAAACACCTGAGACTGGGTAGTTTATAAAGAAAAGAAATTTATTTATCACAGTTCTGTCGGCTGGAAAGTCCAAGATCAAGGTGTTGACAAGTTCTGTGTGTGGTGGGGGCCCTGTCTCTTCTTCCAAGTTGGTGCCTTGAATGCTGCACTCTCACATGGTGGAAAGCAGAAGGGCAAAAAGGGTGAACACTCTTAAGCCTCTTTTATAAGGGCATTAATCAATTCATGACAGTGGACTAAATCATTTCCCAAAAGGCCCAAGCTAAGTTTCAACATGAATTTTGGGGGGGAACACATTCAAACCATAACATCTGGATCCTCTCCATTGCCTCTTACCTGGTCAGGCTAAATTTTTTAAATGTTTGGAGAGTTACCTTATCTACCCACTGCTGTGTATTCTCAGAATCAGAACTGTATCTAGCACGTAGTAGGCACTTGATAAATATTTGTTGACTGGATTAATGAAGGAAGGAATGAATGCCATTATTTGTAGAGATCTTGCTATTGGCCTCCGGCTGAAATTGGGGGATTGGTTTAGAGTACTCCAACTCTTGAAAACTGGATCTGGTGATGCAGATGACAGTCTCCTTGAACAAGCCCACAATGCCATTGGAGACTACTTTGCTGATCGACAAAAGTGGTATGTAACCTACTGGAGTACCTCATACATTTATGCAGCACTTAAAAATGTAGCTGCCTGAGTACTTCCCTAGGAAATAATAAAGTGCTGGGGAAATGAAGACCATCCTCCTGAATCCTATAATGCATATATCTCTAGATTCACACTGGAGAGTAAGAAATCCCTGAAGCTGTGAGATGAGCACTGTAAAACTTTGGAGTTTACAACCACAAAATTTGTGCTTATCCCTAGGCAGCTTTCTACTGTTGAGACCACAGTGTACAGTTCTAAGGTGTTACATGATTTATTTCTGAGCAAAGTAAAAAAAGTGTTTTATATTTGCTTGTTTTGTTATTATAGATTATTTTCAAAGCATTGGTTTTTACTCTTAAGTTTTCATTTTGATTAATATGCTTATTTCAGTGTTTGGGAGTACTACAGCAGTATATCAGATTAAAACAATATTTCTTAAGAATATTCAAGAATGTTACAATTAAAATATGCTACACAGTCTTTAGATTTTTTTTTTCCAGTTTATATGCTTCCGAGGTATTCTGTAACTAAAGATTATAAATAGAGTAGTAGTAGTACTGATAATTCTAGTGAAGGAATAGTTTTAGTGAAAGTGCTTATCAGGAATTTCAAATTAGTTTTAACAGTTTTTCTTTTTTTCTTTCCATAGGTTGAATGCTGTACAATATTATGTACAAGGCCGGAACCAGGAACGCTTAGCCGAATGTTACTATATGTTAGAAGATTATGAAGGATTAGAGAATCTTGCCAATTCACTTCCAGAAAACCACAAGTTGCTTCCAGTAGGTATTCAAAATTTTTGTTCTTGGAGTAGTTAGGTTACTTTTTAAAATTTTTATATTATAGTCAGGAAATACCTTCTGCAAGAAAGAATATTAAAGATTAATTTACAATTTTACAGTTTCTTAGGCATAGACTAATGCTTTTATTTTAATTATTAAACAATATACAATATTACCAGATGCTGAAAATAGAAGAGAAAAATCAGTCATATTCTTACTACATTAACATTATCACAGTCTTGTGTAGTCTCTTCAGTTTTATGAAATCGCTTTTAAAAGTTAGCTGAATACATGAAGTATTTACAGATGAAATGGTATGTTCTCAGGGATTTGCTTCAAAATAATCCGAAATTGTTTGAAATTTGCCATAACTTAAGTTTAAAAAGATAGCCCAATTTTTATTAGGTTATATTAGTAGTAAAGTATTTAATTTTGAAAAGAGAAACTAAAAGCAGAATTCTCTAACTTTCTTTTGAATGTTCTTTTAATTAATCAAAAATTAATTAAACTATAAATGAGTTTGTATTTTATTTGTTTATTTAAAATATAAATCACTGAGCTGTACAATACCTGTAGAGTTAGCAACTCTCAACTGCAAGGTCTGGACATATACCAATCAGGAGTCAAAAATTTTGTCTATTAATTAATAGATAAGTGTAGATCTCTGATGATTCAGTTTTCTCTATCATGAATTACAGCAGTTATCCCTGTAACAATGGCATTTGCACTCACCCTTATTCTCAATCCTATGTGTTTTCTTGGGTAGGAAAGAAACTAAAATTATAGTCCCTCAGTGTATCTGTCTGTTTCAGTTGCTTATAACAAAATACACGGAACTGGGCAATTTGCAAGAAAATGAAATTTATTAGTTACAGTTTCAGAGCCTGGGAAATCCAAAGTCCAGGGAACACATCTGGTGAGGGTTTTCTCTGGTGGTGGCTGTACAGCAATGCAGGGATCTCACGTGGCAGACAATGGTGGAGCAGAGAGAGAGAGAGAGACTCTCATGTGCTCTACTCTTAAAGCCCTCAGAACCACACCGCTGACCACCATTATCAATCCATTCCACTATGGCATGGTCCTACAATCTAATCACTTCTTCAAGGGCCCACCTTTCAAATACAGTAATAGGATTTCCCACCCTCAACAGTTAACAGTGGGAATTAAGCTTCTAATATATGAACTTTGGGGGACAAAATTCAGTCAATCCACAGCACTTGAGTATCTGTTGGGGATTGGTTTCAGGACCCCACAGATACCAAAATCCGTAGTTGCTTAAGTCTGTAATATAAAATGGTGTAGTATTTGCATATAACCTATGCACATCCTCCTGTGTACTTTAAATTATCTGTAGATCACTTATAATACCTAATACAATGTGAACGCATTATAAATAGTCACTTTACTGTATTGTTTACGGAATAATGACAAGGAAGAAAGTCCGTACATGTTCAGTGCAGATGCAATTTTTTAAAAATATTTTCTATCCTCAGTTGGTTGAATCGATATGTGGAACCCATGGATATGGAGAGCCGACTATAGTTAGAACCCCGGGTATGGGAATGGTATATTTACATTAGTACCCTCTGTTAGGTGTGTCTGATGAAGCAGAAAAATATTTTGCTGTAGAGTATCAAGAACAGCAATAAGTAATTTTCAAGTAATTATAGCTATGATAATAAGCAATTAACTAAAATAATAAAAAATTTTAGGTTGTACTGTAAATCTTAAGTTTTAGAGGAATTTTTAATAATATGGGAAAATGTACTTAATATTTAAGTGAGAAATGCAGGATACACAGCTATGTATAGTATGATCACAATACATACACAAATGCACACATATGTATTCATAGGACAAAGGTGTTAGGAAATTACATCAGAATATTGAGAGAGATTTCTTATGGGTAGTAATGTTATGAATAACTTTTTTACGTGTAATTTTTGTGCCATTAGAATGTATCACATTATAATCAGAAAAATATAAGCATTATTTTGGAAAAAGATAATTGGATACAAAATGTACTTTTATATTTCCAAATATATTTTAGAAGTGGGAGTGGGGAGAGAAAAACTGTGGCTAATTATATATTCTAAAAGAAAAACAAAATGATCTGAAAATGGAGAATGCAGCCAAACAGGTAAGATTAGTTGTTGTCATTGTTGTGGTTTTGCCTCCCTGCCACCGCCCTCCAAAGAAGCTTTGTTTTAGGTCTAGTTTCCTGAACTGATGAATGGCGAACTCTAGGGCATTTCTCTATAGGGGTGTTTGAGAACTTTGCGAATGTGAGGTTTCTCGTAAGCCTCTAATTAACAACTAGCATCGAGTATACCACAGTTGCCTTAAAGGTTTTTTTCACCGCCATGTGTGATTTGTTTTGGATTTTGACATTTCCGTACACTAGCTGCTGAACCGAGAGATGATAGAGTGCAGTGACTTCAGGACATAGTTAAAAATCAGATGCATAGCCTGAGCCAGTGAAGTACTGGTTTTATAGAAGGTGATGCCTTAGCACCCATTCTGATTTGTAGCCTCAGCCCCATGATTGTTTAAAAGAAAAATGACTGTATCTACCAGTAAACTTAATATTCATTTGTCCCTGTGGAATTTTGCTAAATTAAAATATAAGTGTTTTCCCCAGCCTGTGAAATCTGATAGTATTGTTTTGTCCTTACAGGAAATAGCACAAATGTTTGTGAGAGTTGGAATGTGTGAACAAGCAGTGGCTGCATTTTTGAAATGTAATCAACCAAAGGCAGCGGTAGATACTTGTGTACATCTCAACCAAGTAAGGAATTGGAACTTACTGTCTGTGCAGCTTGTTGTCTTAGGAATTTTCCGGTCAAGGGGAAACTAAAGTCACCATAGTCATCCTTTAAAGATTACTGCCAGTGTAAGGGTTGGAGAGCTTGAGAGGAATTTTGTGAAAGGAGCCAGACAGGTATTCTCTTATTTAGTTGAGGACTGAGAAAGTGTTGGGGTTTGCACTTTACCTCTTGAAGTGCTACCAAGTGGGTTGGCCCACTAGTAACTAACTCGGTATGGGAACCCCGTGCTTTAAGTCTGGCAAGCTTTTTGTCTGGACGTAATTTCATAATTTGCTGCATTTTATCAGGGTTGGGTTTTGTTTTCCAAGAAAGACCAGCTAATGGTCGGTCATTGCCTGAAGAAGGAATTGAGTTACTTTATCAGTATTTTGGCAAATATATTTTCCTTTCTCTTTATAGAAAACATATATTTGATATTTTTAAGAGCTGAAATTTAACTAAAATTAAAATGCAGAGTTATCATAGAGACTGTTGACTCTTTTAAGTATTCTTTTAAGTATTTTAATGTATTCTTTTAAGTATTTTCCTTAAGGTATTTTATAAAGCTCCATTTGCTTTATTAAAATGACTTTTAAATGTTAAATCTGATGGCATTTTCATAACTGAAATTGCATATTTGTTTAGTATAAAAATATAAACAAGTGCATCTTTTTCTTGCTCACAGTTTGTGCAAAAATAGAATTAAAAGATTAATGTGATTATACACTTTGAAACTTTCCTTTTTAGGTGTACTTCTTAAGTAAATCAGAATCCTAGATCTTTTAATCATTTTGACACGTGTAGCTCATAGAACTTAGAATTGCTCTGATTTTAAGGGATTTTTAAAAACATATACCAGTTTTTTATTTTGAAGTAGTGTTATTTGTTGTTATAAACTTAAAGCTTTATTGTGTGAATTTTGTGTGAATACTTGGGTGACTGAATGGCATTATAATTTTTTTCCTAGTGGAACAAAGCTGTTGAATTGGCTAAAAATCATAGTATGAAAGAAATTGGATCTCTGTTAGCTAGATATGCATCTCATTTACTGGAAAAGAATAAAACTCTTGATGCCATAGAACTGTATCGGAAAGCCAATTACTTTTTTGATGCTGCTAAACTGATGTTTAAGGTAATATAATAATCTTGGTGTGTATTTGGTTTGTTCTAGTTACAAATGTGTTTTTTATACCAAAGAATGCATTTTCTATTTTCTTTGGAAACAAATATTAGTTATAGCAAAACCCTTCTTGTGTTATTACTGCAGTAACTATGTGTTATTTTATTATTATTACCTTTTGGTACCAAGGCTATTTATTTATATTAGCAACTTATTGATACCTAAGCAATTGTATATTTAGTACTGAAGTTAAAGAGTTAAAGAATTTGCTGAGACCACAGAGACAAATTTCTTTAATTGGGAATTAAATCCTATTGGCAATAGAGTTTTGAGTCTTTTCAAATGTACAAGTTTTAAGCATTATACTTTTTATAATATCTATTTGGAGGGAAGATAACGAGTACAATATTAATCTATGTAAATTTTACATTCTCTTCTTTTTTTCCCCATTTGATTTAATGTAAAAGGAAAAATTTTTCTCAAAATCATTCAAATAAATTTTGACTTCTGAAGGATACACCATGTTAATGCCATTGTATCTTGGTGTACTTGGAACATTATTTTTATAATCTCTGTGTTATGGAGAATACTGCCATGATAGTTCCCCATTCCATCGACACTTTCTTCATTCTGATGTAGTTATATGATGGCACCAGTTATTTTTTAAGATTAAATGAGTTCTAACTCTAAGGGCTAAATATACTAAGGAAAAACCTAAATACTTGTAAGTGTTAAGGAAAAGAAAATGGATTTAAAAATATTTATCATAAATAGGTGGTATTTATATTCCATTCTATTGATATTCCTCCTTTTTTTAGAGAATCAAATTTCAATTAATTTTGGAACTGATTATATTTGTACAAATATAGATTAAGTTGTATCTTCCCCAAATTCTTTAAATGTTTAAAGATTGCAGATGAAGAGGCAAAGAAAAGAACTAAACCTTTGCGTGTTAAGAAGCTCTATGTTCTGTCAGCTTTACTTATAGAGCAGCATCATGAACAAATGAAAAATGCCCAACGAGGAAAAGTTAAAGGAAAGAGTTCAGAGGTAAGGCAGAACAGAAAATAACATGAAATCATCCGAAGTGTTTAAGAAAAACTATCAAACTTCTCTTTATGTACAAGTCATTTAATTGGCATGTCTGCATTTTATTTCCTTAAATAATATGAAGAAAAGGAATGATTGATGTAGACTTGGTATTCATATTTAGAAATTTCTACTTAGAAATATTGAAAATTGTTTTTTACAAGACTAATCTGTAGTGTTTGCTTTAATTTCTTATTTTTATTAAAAATTTTACTTACCGGGTAAATCCTCCTTTCTAATCAGTGAGTTTTAAAAACTTTATTAGAGGGCCAGCCCAGTGGCGCACTGGAGAGTGCGTTGCTTGGGAGTGCGGCGGCGCTCCCGCCGAGGGTTCGGATCCCATGTGGAGACCGGTTCCCGCTCACTGGCTGAGCGCGGTGCGCGCAACACTGAGGGTTGCAATCCCGTTGCTGGTCCGCGGTACGGGCGCGACACTGAGGGTTGCTGGACACTGAGGGTTGCTGGTCAGTAAAAAAGACAAAAAGGAAAAAAATTAAAAAAAAAAATAATAAAAACTTTATTAGAATATGTATATTATTTTAATGTGTAAATGAATCTTTTATGAACTTAAAGTTTAATCAACTCTATTTTAAAATTGGATCATACCAGTTTAACAAAACATTAATTATAATAGAAAAATTAACTCTGTAGTGACAGTTTTGTAATGATAAAATCTGCTCATTTAATTTGCTCACTACCCTGATTTGATCACCACACATTGTATACATGTATTGAAATATAATTCTGCACCCCATAAATATATATAATCAATATGTTTCAATTAAAATTCCTTTTAAAAAATTTAGATATTTCAATGTATAACAAGTTGAGAAGTTATCCTTCTTGTAATGACATGGTTATGTGGGAGTTGATACTGTGATTGTGTTTGTGCTGACAGAAAGTGTGGGTCACCTTTACTTGTAGGCCACTTCTGCATTGGCTGGTTTGCTGGAAGAGGAAGTTCTGTCTACAACGAGTCGTTTCACAGATAATGCTTGGAGAGGGGCTGAGGCTTACCACTTCTTTATACTTGCACAGAGGCAGCTCTATGAGGGATATGTTGACATTGCGTTGAAGACAGGTGGGCATGTCACCTAATGTATATAGAATGCCTGAAAAATTATAAATTGAATATGAAGGGCCAGCTCTTTCAATTCACTTATCTATTAATTTCAATAACTTTTTTTCCTATTAATTTCAATAACTTTTTTTCCTATGGATTTATTTTTATATGTTTGAGATTATGCTATATGTAACTTGTTTTGTGCATTCCCCTTTTTGAAGTCCTTTTTATTTTTTGAATACATAGAAAGCAAAACATATAGTTCACAGAAATATCAGAAATTTGAGATAAGCAAAAAGAACATGTATAGCATTCATGTATCTATCCATTCAAACTTAAATGCTTTTTGATCCATATGTATAAAACTTTTTAAAAATAATTTTTTAAAAATAATATTGGGAATATAACAGGGCATACTTCAGTGTACATTTTTTATAAAAATGATACTTTTCTAGTAATTTCAACCAAAACAAAAAGATACAAAGAAAAAAGTAAAATAATCTAATAATTTATAAAATAATTTTATAACTCAGAGATAATCATTGCTAACATTTGGGAAAACTTCCTTTCAGATATTTCTCCATGCCAGAGCTTGCTTTTTTCCGTCAACAGCATATTGTAGTTATCTTTCCTCACTGGTGATCATGGTGGGTCTATGTCATAATTTTTCATAGCTACATAATATTCCATGGTACGTGTATACTGTAATGTATAAAAGATTATTTACATGCAGTATCAGGATCTCAGTTTCTTCTGGATTAACAATATTCTAGAGTTTAGATACACAAGGTACTTCAAAAAGTTCCTGGAAAGATTTGTATTATCTTTTCATTATACTTTTCTTTGAACTTATTGAAGTATCCTTATATTAACTCCAAAGATGAAAATTATGAGAATTGTGTTGTAAACCAAAGCATAAGGATGACTAAACCATTACTGCTCTTTCAGCTTGACCATGACAGCAATGCAAGCCCTGTCACCCCACCCCTCCTCTGTCACATTGGTTGGGCTGCTGTGAAATGACCCATCTACTGCTTATATCATCTCCAAGCGCATATCACACCCTAATCCTGATAGATAATTAATCCATATTCTAATGGCATGATCTTTAAAAAAAACCTTTTAGAGAAATTCTTGTATTTCAATGTTTCTGGAATTGTATAGGGAAGATTTTTATCTTTTCATTATTTTTATAAGAGCTCTTTAGAGATTATATGTAATAACCCTCTTTCATATATATCGATTTTTCCTATAACTTAACCTTTTTAAACTTCAATTTCTTCTGTGTAAAGTGAAGATAATAGTATCTTCCTCATAGAGTTGTTTCAATGATTAAGTGAGAAGTTCATGAAAAGAAATTTCACTTCTTATAGTGTCTGTACATTGTGATCCCTCAATAAGTGGTAGCTGTGCTGATGATATTAATAGTGTTTTTTTATTGTAGTCATATCTGTCAGTCTTTTACTTTATATTTTCCTCTTAGGGATCATGCTCAGGAAGTCCTTCACTTCAAGGTTATTAAATGTTATACTTTATTATGACTTCTTAATTATCCTAACACATTTATTAAAAATTTATTTTTTTCTCACAGATTTGAAATTCTACCTTCATAAAACTAAATTTATACATATTCTTGATCCCTTTCTAGACTATTATTTTTTATTCATGTATTTCTATGCCAGTACTGTCCTTTTATTTACTTTTACATTTTAATATCTAGAATTTAAGCTCTCCCTCATTACTTTTTTTTTTTTTTTTTTTTGTCTTTTTGTCTTTTTTCGTGACCGGCAACGGATCGCAACCCTCAGTGTCGCGCCCGTACCGGACCGGGACCGGCAACGGGATCGCAACCCTCGGTGTTGCCCCCGCTCCTCGCTCAGCCAGTGAGTGGCCGGTCTGTATGTGGGATCTGAACCCTCGGCGGGAGCGCCGCCGTGCTTCCCAAGCGGCGCACTGTAGCAGTGCGCCACCGGGCCGGCCCCCATTACTCTTCTTTTTGAAAAGAATGTTTGGGTATTTTCTTGCATTTGTTTATCCAGATCAGCTATATAATTTTTTTTTTTTGAGGGTGGAGGGAGTTTCAAAGATGTCCCATTAGATTTTGGCTTAGAATTGCATGTTGATATCATTGATATGTTTATAAAATGAGTCTTTTCATCCAGAAACATAAGTTTTTAAAAACATTGTGCATCTGTGTTTCTTCTTGGACACTTTAAACATTATTCCTATTTTTGTTGTCATTAGCAATGGGACTTATATATATATTTTAATTGGTTTTTAGTTATATATAAGAATTATTTTTAATGTGTTTATTTTATAATTGACTCATTTAATTTTAACTGATTAATATGTGATGTAGATTATGTACTGCTTAAAATAGTTGTATTTTGTATAATTTATGCACCATTTCTAGGCTTATTATGAGAAAAATTAGACCTTTAACTTGAAATTTTTTACCTAATGGGTAAAGATATTCATATGCTTCAATTTTTTTGTCTTTCAGTGATAAAATGATCTGAAACATATATACCCTGTAGATTATTGTCTGTGAACTTATGCTCTGGATGTGAAATTAGAGGGTATTGTTTATTGTAACTGAATGAATATATTTTTTATAAATTTCTTCCATTGAAGTTTGTTGTAAACACTTGATCCCATAACCAGTTTAGAGGAATCTAATTGTAAAATACATGAATATATTGTTTTAAACTTGTTTTATGAAATTTCCATTTTACTATAATAAGGTATTTTTAAGATTTTGCAGTCTTAAGGACTAGAGTAGAAAAAGATAAAAATTGGTTACAAATCTGATATTCTGCAGTGCATTTTTAAGAAAGACATAATCATCTTCAGTGTGGAAAAATTGCAGATAAGATGTGGTAGCTATCACAACAAATAGTCTGAACTGACAACTTAGAGGCTCATTTTCACTTTCTCAAAGTTCTCTTGTTTCAAAAACACAAATAAAAGAGCAATAATCTGTTCAAAGAAATATAAAGAGAGAATATATGATTTCACGCTTTTTTGCTTGTTGTTTTTTACAAAAAGAAACACTATTTTCTTGAGAATTATAACTAATATAGTATAATATTTTTTCTGAAATTTCTGACTTAAGTGAAGCAAAAGATACATGTTTCTACACTATTATTATTATTTTTTTGTCTTTGCGTATATTTCTAGGTTGGCACAACACATCGTTTGGTGGTGGTTATTTTCATAGGACCTGAGCTGTTAGCGAGAACGTGTAGCCCACTTCCTCCTGCCAGTGCTCCCATCTCTCAATGTTGTTTTCCTTATGTTTGTTAAAGTTCATTGGGTTAAACAAAAACACCTTAATGTAGACTCTTTCCCAAGCATGTTCAGAATATCATGATTATTCTAAAAAACCCCAATTGTTCTCTCTTTCCTAGCTCTTCACCTACGAGACTATGAAGACATTATCCCTGCTGTTGAGATCTACTCTCTGTTAGCGCTCTGCGCATGTGCCAGCAGAGCTTTCGGGACTTGCTCAAAAGCTTTTATTAAACTTGAATCTTTAGACACCCTCAGTTCAGAACAGAAACAGCAATACGAAGATCTTGCTCTAGAAATCTTCACCAAACATACTCCAAAAGATAACAGAAAATCTGAATTGGACAGCCTTCTTGAAGGGTAAGCTAATTGTAATTAGCAGATGTCATTCTACCTTATTAGTGGCTTGGATTTCTATGTTTGTAATGTGTAATATAATAATTAAAGCACTAAATTTTGAAGTAATTTACCTTAACATTATACCCTTTTTTATATAAGTGTTACAAGTGTATTAATGCTTTATTTTTTCACTATAAGAAAAGTTTTTATTTCAAAAAGATTTTTGAGATAAAAGTATTTTATTTGAAGTTTACCTTGAAATGTTTTTTCATTCTTTGGTTTTTTAACGGTATTAAATAGTTGGACTAGTTAGAAGTTTTAAAGTATAATGGATTGTTTTTCCTTTTTGTAGTGGAGAAGGGAAACTGCCAACATGTGTTGCCACAGGAAGCCCGATCACTGAATATCAATTTTGGATGTGCAGTGTCTGCAAGCATTGTGTTCTTGGTCAGGAAATAACTAACTACAACTTCTGTCCCTTATGCCATAGTCCAGTGGGATAAGGGAATGATGAACTGTATATAATTGTAAAATATATGTAGCATATGTTCATAGCCATAACTGTATATGTAATACGGTTGATTGCTGTAAGTTTTATATGAAAATAAGACTCATTATTTTATAGTTGTATTTTTGCACAAAATTTTTATTATTCCTATAATAAAGTACTTTTTGTACAGAAATACAACCATAAAATAATAAAGATGATTTTCATGGAAGTCAACCTTATTTTTTATCTATCTGTATGTCATTTATCTATCTTGAGGTTAGTTACATGATACCATGGAAATATCCAAATAATAAATGTTTTTCTTATAGTGTCAAGGTTATTAATTCATTAAAAAGTCTTGGGGGTGAGAGAAGCATGGGAATGGGGCAAAGCTGAATTTAGAGCATTGACATAACTTGTATTACGAGGAGGTTAAACAATTTTAATACTGAAATGAGCTTTATGTCTAGCTGTATTTGATTAAATGAGTATTGAATGTCTTCCATGTTTTATTTTCAGAAGTAAGGAGATGGCATTTTAAGACAATTTTTACAATTTGAATAGTTTCTAATAGACTTATTCATCCGTTTAAAAAAATCTATCCTGTTAGTCTCATTCAAGAGATGGCATTTAGCACTTACTTTTTCATATTATTGTGCACAAAACTTGGTTCTATTTATAATGATAAGAACTTATACAAAAATACCCATTTTGTAGTTATGCTTTCAATTGAAATATTGTCACCAAGCTGGACTCTTCATTTAAGAAAACTCTTGCTGTAGGAAGTGATTCTTTCTTGATATGCATCTGTTTTGATGTGTTATCATTAATTTAAAAGAGAAAAAATTGTGATCAGTAATGGGTAAATTTCTTACCTCTTTTATATAGAAAATAATGCTCTCCGTTTATTTCTAATGAACTTATGTCCTCTCATTTTGTGGCTAAAGACCACACTTTAGCACTATTTTATTAAGATTGTTTGCTGAGGTTTGGCTGATGTTTAGTTGAGACGATAAATAAAGAGAAATACACAGCATTGTTATCATGGCAATAATGCTTACGTTAGTTCACTCTCTCAATATGATATGTTTTTGGTCTTGTAGAGACAAGTTAAGCCTTTTGCAGAGTGAGCTATGAGAAGAGGTTAATTAGAGCCTAGGTGAGTTTAGGATAGATAGTGGGCTCATGTGTCTAAATAAAATAAGACCAGAAGTCCTTGAAGTCTCTATGTCCATTCACCTTGTGGGAAATTACCTTGGTACAATGGTAGCCTCCAGTTTCACTACCAAGCAAGCTGTCTCTGGGCTGGCCCGGTGGCGCACTGCTACAGTGCGCCGCTTGGGAGCGTGGTGGCGCTCCCGCCGAGGGTTCGGATCCCACATACAGACCGGCCGCTCACTGGCTGAGCGAGGTGCGGGCGCAACACTAAGGGTTGCGATCCCGTTGCCGGTCCCAGTCCGGTACGGGCGCGACACTGAGGGTTGCGATCCGTTGCTGGTCATGAAAAAAGACAAAAAGGAAAAAAAAAAAAAAAAAAAAGCAAGCTGTCTCAGAGGTCATGCACAGAAAGGCTTGTAAACCAAACGAGGTTAATTGAATCAATTTAAAATACACAGTGAGGCACCAGGAGAAAGTGATGGGGTAGATTAACACTATTAGGGTAGGGTGCTGGTAGGGTGGAAAGACCACAATCCTGGGTTATATAATATTTTTAGTCCTGACTCTCCTGACTCTCACTCTGTCACATCAGCTTCCCCTGATAGCGGGGTTATGGAGAGGACCACAGTTGCAGTTTGAGCCAGAGAACTCAGTCAGATGGAATGTGCCTGAGGCCAATGATGCACACTTGCTGTATAGAAGATGCTCAGGGGCAAGCACATCTGGCCACGGCTGTAGCTTGCCAATGAGTCTGCTGAGCAGTCATGTATTTTATTGTATTTCTTGGGTAGAGGACAGGTCAGAATAAGTGCCACCTGCGGGTAACTGAATAAAGACCTCACACATATTGAGGGCTTGTGTATCTCATGCATTCTTAGTGTCATGAATATTTAGCACTTTCGTTGCCTTTTGTATTTTAGTGCTTTGTGAATATTAGGTATCTCTTGCTTCTTCTATCGCTTTCTATCTGTAGTCAAACATATAAGCTCTATTTACTTTGTCTGATATGTCTTATTAATTACTCACTTATCTAAATTTAACACAATGAATTTCATCTATCTTGTTTGTTTTCTTTTGTACCAGAATAGATAATGAGTATTTCTCCAAATTAGAAAATCATGTCCTAACAAAGAGGTCTGCCCAAGAGAATATATCTCCTGTTGAGCTTAATTATGTATTTCTACAGGACTTTCTGTTTGCAGGGATGAGACTGTTCTCTGCTTCATCAATGAAAGAGAAATTTTCAGGGTTGTAGGGATGGCATGCTTGTTACTGGCTCCCCTGTGTAAATGGTTCCTGCAGGATGGTTTGCTGGGAGTTGTGGTTCTTGGTCCCTGGTCTAATGCCTGAGTATCTCTTCTTTTCCTTACCCTTTCCTATCCCATGAATCAGATGAGAACTCATTAGTTTGTCATGCCTCTAGCTTTTATTGTGACCTCTTGGTTACACGTCTGTTTTATTTGCTTCAATTCCAAAATCATCTGTTGACTCCTCAAGCCTCTTGTAACATATCTTTTGGGAATTCTCTTCTAGAGCCTTCTCATTTGCCACTAATCCTGCTCTGCCAGAGCCCTAGAATTTTTCCTCGAACTAATGATTTCAGATAGATCCTTAGTTGCTGTTGATACTTCTTGTTCAGTTTTGATCCGGAAACCAAAATCTCTAAAAACCACCTCTCATGCCCTATGGACCTAATTATATGTATATGTATATGTGTGTGTGTGTGTATACACATACATATATGTAAAGACAAACATCTTTTTTACTATTATGAAAGCTTATGACTCTTTGGGATCTATTCTGTGAAAGTTTTAATGATCTGCCATAATGTTTTGGAGACCTCTGTCTTGCTTGAAAATGCTACTAGAGAAATAACCCATAGTATGAAGTGATTCAATCTCTTTTATTCAACATGAAGAAAATTTTAAGATAATAACACTAACAAACTATCCTCTGATGAAAGGGGCAAAGAGAAGCAAAATTGACCATATAAGACAAATTCTTGGAGAGAAGTTGGATAGACAGAATTAGGTAGTATATTGAAGACAGCATAACATTCTCTTCTTGTGATAGACATGAACTGACTCATTTTGAGTAATGCTGAGTTGTTCTTTATCATAAAACTTGCCCTGAATTATGTAATGTTTCAAAGTAGTATGGTAGGCCAAAGTCTTGAACTGATGGAACTGACTGATGAAGCCATATAAATAAGCAGTGTGCCTAGCAAGCACCATAGCGTTGTTGACCTGCTATTATTCACAAATCCTGACTTCATTATAAATTGTTTTACTAAAATATACTTTGAAATTATCTTTCTGCATTCAAAGAGCTGAGATCTTAGGTTTTATGTGGTATTAAGTGAAAAAAGGAAAAAGAAAATAATAAATATTGAAAAAATGACTTGTGTTTATCCTGTTTCCTTTATCTATAACTTATAGAAAATGTGGTGTTTACTTTGTCTTTATTTAAATATTCTGGTGGGGGTTGGTTAGGAGAGTGTTGGGCTCCGGAATGAAGAAGGGGAGAAGGGGGCAGGAGGCACAACAGATACACAATACTACTTTTGCTACCAAATGGGGGAAAACCCAGCAACCTTATAAAGGTACTAGGCAAATGTCAGGTGATCGGAAGTTGCAGTGAATTACTCCTTAGAGGTCACACAGAGTTCTAATTTAGAAATGAATGGAAAAATTATGTTAACAGACTTTTAAGAGAAAATCAAAAGTACTGAATTTGATGATGTATCTCCAGGATCTTGCTACTGAGTTTCTAAAATGGAAATAGAAGAATTATGTTGCCCCCTACTGTCTGTTTTTATGATTATTTTCTCAATTCATTTTTTTCTTTAAGAAACTACCATTATTTGGAGTATAAAAATAACTTACGTAAATGGTAGAAAATTTCAAAAATACATGAGTGTAGATGAGAAAGTAGAAATAGTCTTGATAACCTTTAGAAAAATAAAAAGCATTAACTTATATTTTAGTTGAATTTAAGAGAAGAAAAAATCCGGATGAAACAAAAGATGTACTATAAATGTTTCTTCATAGCAAGAGATATTTATTTATCTAAAATTAAAAGTAGACATTAAGTGGCTTAGGGTTATATTTTATTTAACTACTCATTTCTTTTTTGGTATAGTGTAAATTTCTAGTTAGAATTCAGAGGAATTGAGAGAATGAGGTACTTCTATGTAGCGACTACAAGGGCTAATATTAAAACTAACAAGACAAGTATTGGTAAGTATATAGAACAATTGAAATTTTCATACACTGCTGATGGAAATGTAAAATAGTACACCCACTTCAGAAATGTTTGGAAGTTTCTTCTAAATTTAAACGTATACTTACTATATAGGGCCCAGCAATCCTGCTCTTAGGAATTTACACAGAAGAAATGAAAACATATCCACCCAAAGACTTGCATGCAAATGTACATAACAGTATTATCCATAATAGCCAAAAACTTGGAAAGAAGCTAAATATCCATCAATATGTGGATGTATAAACAAAATATAGGATATGCATACAATGAAATACTACTCAGCAATAAAAAGGAATAAACCACTGATACATGTAACAACATGGATGAACCGCAAAAGCATTATGCTAAGTGAAAGAAGCTAGAAACAAAAGACAACATACTGTATGATGTCATTTATATGAAATTCTAGAAAAGACAAAATCATGGTGATGGAAAGTAGTTCTTGAAGTCCAGGAGAGAATATGGAATTGGCTTCAAAGGAGTACAAAGGAACTTTTAGAGATGATTGAAATGTTCTATATCTTGGTTTTGGTGATGATTACACATGACTATACATTTGTCAAACTCATTAAATTGTACACTTATTGTTAATATTTTTTTTAAATAAGGCATTTCTATTTTAGTTGAATTTAACAGAAGAAAAAGAAGCTGAGGTGAAACAATAAATTGCTGTATTATGTCTTTATAACAAAGAGGTAGGTTCCTAAGAGATTTCTCTAGCTAAAAAAAAAAGTTAACGTAAATTATAACTTGATAAAGTTGATTAATAAAACAAAAATAAAGCTAATAGTGGGCCGGCCCAGTGGCGCACTGGAGAGTGCGCCGCTTGAGAGTGCGGTGGCGCTCCCGCCAAGGGTTCGGATCCCATGTGGAGACCGGTTCCCACTCACTGGCTGAGCGCGGTGCGGGCGCGACACTGGGGGTTGCGATCCCATTGCCGGTCAGTAAAAAAGACAAAAAGGAAAAAAAAAAAAAAGCTAATAGAGAAAATGGAATAATCATTTATTTAAGCTAAAAAGACTGTAAGAAAAGAGGAAGAAATTATAGATGAGACAAATAGAAAACAAACAGGAAGATGGCAGACTTAAACCCAGCTGTATCAATAATTACATTAGGTATAAATGGACTAAACACTCCAATCAAAAGAGATCGTCAAAATAGATTTATAAAAGCAAGAGTCCGTTTAAAAACAGATAGGTTGAAAGTAAAAGGGTGGGAAAGATGCACCATGCAAATGGTAAGGATAAGAAAGCGTGTGTGGTTCTATTAATATCAAAGCAGACTTCAAGACAATGAGTGTTACCAGAGATAAAGAGAAATATCTCATAACGATACAAGGGCTAATTCAACAAGAAAACATGATTCTGATTGTTAATTTGCCTAATAAAAATACACATCATAGTTGGAGACTTTAATACCCTTCTCTCTGTAATTGATAGAAATGGACAAAAAAAAAAAAATCAGTAAGAATATAGAATATTGGGTGTTTATAAAATTTCCCCACATCATAAGGTCATGAAGATACTATATTATGTTCTAGAAGTTTTATTCTTTTGCCTTTCACATTTAAATTTTCTCTGTGCTGAAGCATGATGTCTCAGTTATTACAATTGT